CTCTCCCATCTGACGCCGATCCCGAATAAATGCTGCCGCTCGCTACAGACTGACTTGCGCATCCTGCTTCTTCGAAACTGCTCAACTCTAAATTGGTCGTCAGAGGCCCGCCTTCAAATCTCTTCTATGGATCTGGATGGCGGCGTGACTTGTACCGTCGCCAGCCAGCACGGGCATTGACGCTCATCCCTTCGCATGCAAAGCCCTATGGAACAACATCAGGCCCTTCCGATCTTTGGATTTTAGCCGTGTTATGCCAGCGGGCGTTCGGTTTCGGGAGCTTTCGGGCGGCCAACTGATGGCTAAGGTGCAGGAGTTATCATGTAAACAGCCCAATTGGGGGTCAAGTCCCCCATCCACCGGGTTTGGTATCTATTTCCCTTTCACCGAGCTGCCACGCCAGTGGTACGGAAACCGCGAAGGATCCGCCAGCTGCTGCAGGAATGAGAGGTCTTATAGCTTCAAGAGCGACCTTATCAAGCCAGCGCATTCAGTACATTAATGTAGACGCCAGCGGCGGTAGTAGTCGTTTTCTTTTTGATGGATCAGGGACGGTCAGGGGCGACGGGCCCTGCTCGTGGAGGGTTGGAGAGGTATGGCCAAATTGAGAGGAGGCATAGTCCTCTTGAGAGTTATTCGAGGGGGAATAGCCCTCTTGAGAGGTATGGGAGGGGGAATAGTCCTCTTGAGAGGTATGGGCAAGAGGAGCCTCGATGGAACGCGCAGGTCCTATCGCGAGCTACTACTGCAACCAACGTCTCGACTCAGGACACAAGGGGAAATCCTCATTGTCTGAGTCAAGATTCACGTGCAATTGCGGCGGGACATAGCGGTCCCTCCCCTTTTGCGTTGGAGCTCGGAGCATTGAGGCGGAGGCCTTCTGAAGGCCAGCGCGAGTCCAGCGGGGGGCGGAAGCGGAAGAGATCGCGCGGAGATCCGCTGCTGAGCAAGGGGGAGATCAAGGCGGCGGCTGCTAGCGATGATGACGAGGCTCTTGCTGCTCGCCTGATCGCGGGGAAGCTTCTTCCCTCCCCGTCGGCCTCTTTCACAGGTGACTGCTTCTGTACCTCTTGGTCTACTCCCCTTGAGGGCCAACAGAAATGCGGAAGATTGCAAATTTTGCATGCGTTCAGTCTGTCCGCGAATCCCTTTTAAGAATCCGCTTTCTGCATGTCTGCGTGCTTTCTTATCTCTGATGCAACTCTTTCTGTCCTTCTTTCTATGCTTTCACAACGATTCGCCCGTGCAGGAGCGGTGCAAGCCATCATCCATAAAGCACGCCTTTCTGCAGCCTCAGAACATCCATTCGACCCCCTCGGCCCCCCACCAACTGCGCTCGCCTCTTTTCCTCCCTCCTTATTTCCCAGCTCCTCTCATGCAACGGCTGCTCATCTCTCCTCTTCGTCCCAGCTTCCTGTGCCTGAACGAAGCTCTTTAAATTCGCTTCCCCTTCTCGCGCGTGGCACCAGTCCTATGGATCGTTTTACCCAGGATCAATCGTCCAGCTATCTGAATCGACTGTGTGGGGGATTTTCAGTGCAATCTTCCAGCCATACGGACCCCGCTTCAAGGAATCTTCCTGTGCAATCGTCTGGCCATGGGGACCCTTTTACCAGAGACCTTCCTGTGCAAGCTTCCAGTCACATGGGCCCCTTTACCAGAAATCCTCCTGGCCTATCCAGCTATACGGACCCCTTTTCCAGGAAGCTTTCTTTGCAGTCATCCGGTGTTACCGACGCGTTCACCAGAAATCTTTCTGGGCGATCTTCTGGTCTCGCAGACCTTTTTTCCAGGAACCTTCCTGTGCAGTCACCCAGGCACGTGGACCCTTTTACCAGGAACTTTCCGGTGCAGTCTTCCAGCCTGATTGACCCTATCATCAGGAACCTACCTGCGGAAACTTCTGGGCGTATGGACCTTTTTACTAGGAACCTTCCAGTGTATTCCAGCCACAGTGACCAGTTTCCTGGGAATGTACCACCTTTGAGCCATACCGGCCTCCCCGCTGGAAATCTCCCTATCCAATCATCCGGCTACATGCAATCATACAGCCACATGCAACTAATTACCAAAATGCAACTATCGAGCCACTTGGTGTCATCGGGCCTCGCGGGCTTCAAGCCTCCCGTCAATGAGGCGCCTTCCAGTTGCGTGGGTCCAGCTCGTTCTTTTTTTTCTCCGGAGGATGAGCTCCGGAAGCTACAGGCAGCGGGACCCAGATTGCCGTCCACATATGAGTGCAAGGAGTGTGGGAGGACGTTCTCCCTGCCTCAGTCTCTGGGCGGACATATGTCGAGGCATAGGCGAGGTATTCTAGCTGCTGCTTCAGCTCTGGCTCACAGCAATTCCTATCGCATGCCCTGTTGAGAGTGCCGGTACAAATTCTGGATTTTTGATGTGATTGTCTCTGATTCGCAGAGGAGAGGCTGAAGCTAATGGACAAAGCAAAGGCGGAGGCCGATACTCACGAGGTCGCAGAAAGCCTGTGTGATCTGCAGAAAGCAGCACCGGAGAATTCTGGCATTGCTGAATGTGCTGCAGATGCTCCTGGCCAGGAGAAATGGAGCGCCTCGTCAATGGGAAAGGCAGTTGATATCCCTTGGAAGGGCGATCAGCAGCAGCTGCTGCCTTTTGAAGCAGGCATGCAATCTCAGCAGCATCAGCAGCATCAGCAGAAGCAGCAGCATCAGCAGCAGCATCAGCGAAAGCAGCATCAGCAGCAGCAGCATCAACAGCAGCAGCAGCATCAGCTGCACCAGCATCAACAGCAGCAGCAGCAGCAGCTACCGTTGGATCGAAAGGTGTTTCACCATCGATTCACCATGCTGCCGGACCGTGTCCTGCTGCCTCCTGACTCACCTCTGGTAGACCCTCTCTCACAGCCGTGTGAAAATGAGCTTTGTTTCACTTCTGCCCACCAGCAGTGGCAGCAGCAGCAGCATGAGAAGAAAAAGTGTTCAGGACCAGCCCTGCTGTTTTCGCCTCCTGCATCGCCCCCTTTGGACAATGTGACTCAGCAGCATGAGGCTGAGAGTGAAAATTCTCCTGATCCTGTTCCACACCAGCAGTATGTTTTGAATGATGTGAGCGGTGTTCCCGCAACAAGGGAGGTTGCAAGGTCGTGGCCTCCAATTGTACAGATTCAGAACTACAATCATGGAACTACACACACCACTCCAACTCGCTCGCGCGTTTTGGAGTTTGACTTGAATTTTGCTCCGTCAGATAATGAGGAGCCCTAGGTTGGGGAGTGCAGTCTACAGACGAGCGGTCTTGGGCTGTAAGCTGTGTATGCGTTTGCATGTATTCTCTCCTCTTATGAGGGGCGGTTGAGTGCAATAATATGTACATTAGTATAGTGACAGCTGTATCAGGATTCACAAGTGGGTTTTTATAGTGAAGAGTTTAAAACATACTCTTTTCTCAGCTGGAACGACTTCGAAAGAACGATATCACAATGTACCGTACAGAACTCCTTTGCACTGACCACCTCTGGCCTCAGCTGGCAGCCACACCCCCACCACATGCCCACAACCTGACGCCCAATGTTGGCCTCTGGTAATTCAGCGAGATCGCTCGCGACGTGATGTCGCCACATTATGACCGTCGATCTCATCATCTGGAAGCATCTGCGAATCATATTGTCAATTCAATCATTGACGAAACATATCTGGAAGAGAAAGCATTTGTGGTGCGCCTCGATCGCGTTGTCCAAATGCAACGCGACGGAGCAAACGAGCTGGTGTCACTCCAGCCGACCCAATCGATCACATTTCACATCACACACCACTATTCGCTTCGCTCCGCTTCGCACTTCTTCCAAATCGCCCCCATTGAATCCCATGAGCTCTCCACCATGCTTGCAGCACGACGCATGTTGCTGCGGTTTCTTTGGCTCCTCCTGCCCTATCCTATCCTATCCTAGCTACCACGTATGCTTGCTCCTTCACGGTTTCTACTCATCCGTGTCACTGCCGTTCTCCTTAGCGTCCGACAGACGGAATTCCGAACGTTTCCCTTGAAACATCCGGTAACAGACAAACTCACGCCGAACGTTCTTCCTCTTATTCAGTTTGTCCCGGTGATCCAGTTTTTCACCCTGCGACCTGCCCACGAGTCTTAGGTCGCAACTTGCGACTGGGCGAGGCGACGCGACCTCACGCCGTTACGTGTAGACGATTGCCACGTATTCGTTGTCTAAATTTCTTCGGCTGCTCCCATTGACTATTTTGAGGATGTGATAGCTTCTCGAATGCACTGTACGGTGGCGAATGCCTATCTGATTTTGAGTCGACTCAAAAACACAAGCGACCTCAGCGGGCTTTGAGGACTTCTTTAGCAATTTCGTATATTATATTAATTTCTGAGTATTCTGTCTATATCGTACCGGGAAGCATCGACACTGGACTGCCCACAGGTATCGCGGATTGCTACCCTGTTGATCATTAGTAGCCAGTGATCCGAACGAATTTTGCCTTCGAAATAATAGGCTCGACCTCGTTGTACCGGGCTTGTCCTACTGACCCGCCGAACGCACTACTAGTCCAAAATGGAACGTTTGTAGCCACAGATTCGGTGTCTAGCGGCGGTCGCAGCTATCATGGCCACGAGCCAGCCAGCGCAGACAGCTGCTGCTGCAGCATTAGCCGCAGTATCTCCAGTAGCAGCAGCAGCAACATTTCCAGCAGCGGCGGAGCAGCTTGACGCCGCGGACGATTTTCTGGACTCAGCCCGCGGATCTTGGACGCCCGAGGTGCGTTCCCGCAACTAAACGCTTTCACTGATCAACAGGCAATCTTCAAGGCACCCCTTTATCACAACTAAACGCTTCAGTTCCCCTTTCTCACCCTCCCCTTCCCTCTTTCTTCCCTTTCCCCCACTCCTTACTCGTTACCCCAACAACAGGAGGACGCAATCTTGCGGCGTGTGGTGTCGAAGCTAGGCGCGCACTGGGCACCCATTGACACGCTGCCACTGCTATAAAGTCAATGGCTGACCCCATGTTTCCTACACTCCGTGTCCGCTCCTTCTCTCCCCCCTTCCCCCCACAACAACAGGAGGACCAGATCTTGTTGCGGATGGTGCGGAAGCTAGGCGGGCGGCACTGGAACAAGGTCGCGGAGAAGGTTCCGGGAAGGAGCGCCAAGAGCTGCCGGCTGCGGTGGTGCAACCAGCTGGACCCAACTGTGAAGCGCGGTGCTTTTAGCGAAGAGGAGGATGTGATTCTAGCGGAGGCGCACGCGCGGCACGGGAATAAGTGGGCGCGGATCGCTAGGTATCTGCCTGGGCGCACGGACAACGCGATTAAGAACCACTGGAACTCCACTCTTAGACGGAAACGGCTGGGTGGCGAGCCTGCTGGTGCTGCTGATGGTGGTGCTGCTGATGGTGGTGCTACTGAACTGGTCGCGAGGTACCTCCCTGGGCGCACGGACAACGCGATTAAGAACCACTGGAACTCGACGCTTAGACGGAAACGGGTGGGTGGTGGGACTGGCGGTGCTGCTGCTGAGGCGTGCAAGGAAGAGGTCAACGCGATTACGGACCACTGGAGCTCCACTCTTAGACGGAAACGGCTGGGTGGTGGGGCGATTTGCGAGGCACGTAGGAAAGAGGACATTGGGGTTGAGGACCATTGGAACTCCACACTTAGACAGAAAGGAGTGGCTGCTGGGACTGGCGGTGGTGTTGCTGTTGCTGCTTCTAATGGGTACAATGCTGCAGCTGCAGCAGCTGAAACGGACGGAAAAGGTCTTCAGCTACTGCAGGAGAGAAGAGAAGCTAAGAGGAGGAAGATGGAGAGGAGCCATGGGTCTCAACAGCTGGAGAGTGGGTCTGCATATGCTCCTGCCGTTGAAGTGATTCAAAGCCCTCAAGATGAAGGTGATTGTGACGAGTGGTGGAAACCAAAGGAAGAGGCGCAGCAGCAGCAGCAGCAGCAGCAGCAATCGCTGGTGACGCTGCTAGCCAGCTCGAGCGCACCACAAATATGGGACTCGTTTGAACGCGCATTGGGGATAGGCGACGGCAGTGGCCGTGACCAGGAGGCTGTCAATAACGCGTATAGGTTTCCCAGCAGCTTTGAGGAGCTCGAGACTGGCTCAAGTGCAATGCAAGAGATGGTCAGAGGACGGTTGGAGGAATCCAGGCGGGTGGAGGAACAGAAGGGCGGGCTGAGAAGAGGGTGGGAGGAGGGGCAAGAGGGAGGCTGGGAGGGTGAAGGTAAGAGCGCATGGAAGGGAAAGAAGACGAGCAGGAGGAGGAGGAGGAAGGAAGATGCTGCAAAGGAATCGTCGTCGTCAGCTATCATGACTCTCGCGCTCCTCCTCTCCCGCATCCTCACGAAATCCGATCGCCCTCTCGACAGCGCTTCTATGTCCAAGCTTCCCCTGGCTGTCCCTCCTTCCACGGCTGCTGCTGCTGCTGCTGCTGCTGCTGCTGGCAACACTAATGCCATTGCTACCTGCTCCTCGCCTCCCTCTCCTGTCCACTGCTCCTCTCCAACCCCTTCCGCTATGCCCCCCATTGGCTCTCCACACGCCACTCCACCCGCTTCTCCTCATGCCCCAGCACAACCCCCTTCGCCTGATTTGGCTTCCCTTCTCGCCCTCCTCCATCCCCTCATGCCTTCCCAATCCGCGCCCCCCTCTGCTCCTCCCCTTGCTCCGCCACCTGCCTTCCGAGAACCTTCCTCTGAGTTTGTTAGCAGACAGGAAGACTTGCATCAAGAGAATAGGGAACATAGGGACTACCATTATGATAACCATTGGCATCAGCAGCAAGCCGAAGAGCAAGCGGAGCAGCTGGAGCCGAAAGTGCAGCCGCCACCGCAGCAAGTGCAGCAACAAGTGCAGCAGAAGCAGCATGAGCAGCATGAGCAGCATGAGCAGCATGAGCAGCATGAGCAGCATGAGCTGCAAGTGCAACGCAGGCACAGCCAGCGCTATTTAATCACTGAGCTCGAGGCTGACCTTGGCCTGTCCCCGTCCGACTTCAGACACTCCCCAACCGACTTCAGACACTCCCCAGCCGACTTCAGACACTCCCCAACCGACTTCAGACACTCCCCAACCGACTTCAGACACTCCCCAACCGACTTCAGACACTCCCCAACCGACTTCAGACACTCCCTAACCGACTTCAGACACTCCCCAACCGACTTCAGACACTCCCCAACCGACTTCAGACACTCCCCAACCGACCTCCGCCCCTCTCCGGCCGAACTTCACCACTCTCCATCCGACCTCACCCTTCCACCTTCCAGCGTTGAACTTCTACCAACCACGCTCGACCTTCCACTCGCTGATATGCCCTTTGAAGTTCCAACGTTAGGCTTCACGTGCCAAGTAGTGAGCGATGAGGACCACTGTACTGCGGTTGCGATGGGTGTAGAGGGGTTTGGTCTTGAGGCAACACAAAACCAGTGTGATGTAGGTCGGTTGGGTAAAGAGGGGTTGGAAGCGGTGCAGCCAGTGGGAAGTGTAGTTGGGGAGGTTTCGGCAAATAGAGCGGGTACGGAAGAGAGCGAGCATGAGGAGGAGTGTGAGTGTGAGGAGTGTGCTTGTAACGAGGAGAATGAGATAGAGCTGCCTGAGGAGGGTGAGAAGCGTGGCCTTGATGCTGTGTCGGGTGACAAGGAGTATGACAATGCCAGGCGTGACAATGGGGGGTGTGACTATGACCCAGACTGGGCAGATGTAATGGAGGGCGTGGATCTGCTGCCAGACAGGCTGTCAGAGGAAATCAACGGTGCTACTGATGATGATGATGAGCAGTTGGTTCCCATGGCACAAATTGCAAAGACTTGTTCCCTGCGAAGCTGCGGTGGGGAGCAACTTAGCCCTGACACCAGCTGCGCGAGTCAAGTGCCCCCCGAAAAGGTAAGCTGTCTGCTGCAGCAGGTGAACTGCCTGGTGACGTTTGAGTCGACTCACAAGTCACCTAGCCGTGCCACCAACAACACCAGCTGCACCAGTCAACTGTCCCCTGAGAAGGTAAGCTGTCTACTGCAGCAGGTGGACTGCCTGCTGGCTGTGCTGCGAGCTGCCAAGAGCTCCCCCTCTACCCGCTTATCCCCTCTAGCCACCTGCCACCAGTAGCCATGGCCCACGGCACCTGGAAGCTCTAGAAGGATTATTATCTGTGACTCTTGAGTTGCGCCAAGAGCCTTTTGATGAAAGATCTGCTTGCCAGGTGGGCTGCTGCTGGCTGTGATGCATTCAGCCAGAAGCTCCGCTACTTGCTGCGTACTACCCCATTTTTGAGGCGCCTCAAAAGCCACAAGCTCCTCTTCTTGCTGGCTATTGCCTCTTATACAAGTCGTAAAGCCACTGTCTGGACCTTTTTGTATTGTGTCGAAAGGATAGAATGAGAAGAACCTGTTACAACTACATACAAAAACGCAGCACAGGTTACCACCTCTCCTCTTGCGAGCTGGAAACTGGTGGAAGCTGCGTTTTGTCTTCTAGTAAAACTGTTAAACAGTTCATACCCGTTATAGGCTGCCTTGCTGTGTCACATCACAACTTGGGCGGGTGCTGTTGGCCGGCGGAATCTACTATTTGCAAGCACTTCTGAATGACGCCGCCCGGAATCAGATTCACGTTCCACAGCTTGACTAGATAAAGCATGAAGCACCTGTTGTGGGGAAAGGTGGAGAGTGAGCGGGGAGGGGAAGGGGGAGGAGGGAGGGGAAGTGGGATGGGGAGACAGGGGGGGGGAGAAGGGGAAGACAAGGTGTCAGCCACACAGGCAGTTATGGAGAATTTTTTATTCATGTTTTCGTTTATATTTCTATTGTAAAAGTTGGTTTTACTTCTATTTTAAATATTTTATTTCATAATTTTTGTTCTAATTTAGCCACTTAGAATAAAGCAGCGTATACAGGGGAATGGAGGCAAAGATGGCGAATGACAAGACAAGGGGCCATGGAATCAAGTGGAGTGAGAAAAAGGGAGTGGAAATCTTTTGAGGCGCCTCAAAAGTGGAAGGAGGGAGCATGGAAATTGGTGGAGAGAGAGAAGGGCTGGCGGCACTCACATGCGAGTGCATGGGGAGGAGGAGAGGAACTCCTTATGTCACGTGCCACTGTAACAATGTGACTACTGTGACAACTCAGACAAAAAAAAGGGCAGTGGCACTCACATGCGAGTGCATGGGGAGGAGGAGAGGAAGTCCTTATGTGTGATGGCGAAGGCCTCACACGCCCACGGCACATGCCTGTCTGCAATTACCCTGATAGGAAAAGGCAAGCACAATCAGAGACAGAAGGAGACGATTAGATGCACATGCGTGTGGGTCGCACAGTCATGTCCGCCACTCAGCGCAACCCACACACAGCAACCCCTCAACTCCATTAGCCAGTCGACCGCAAGCAGCACCCACCAACCGCCCACCTGTGGCGGCGCACAAACGCCATCCAGCGATGCATGATGCCCTGTGAGTCAAGTCAAAAGGCTTCCACACTCCACACTCCCACACACCCAACCCAACCCTTTCAACCCCTTACCCCCACACAGCAACCCCCGCTCACCTGTGGCGGCGCACAAACGCCATCCAGCGGTGCATGATGCCCTGTGAGTCAAGTCAAAAGGCTTCCACACTCCACACTCCCACACACCCAACCCAACCCTTTCAACCCCTTACCCCCACACAGCAACCCCCGCTCACCTGTGGCGGCGCACAAACGCCATCCAGCGGTGCATGATGCCCTTCTCCTCTCCCAACACGTCCTCAAACTCGCCCAGCAACTGCTTGCATAAGAGGCAGCATAGGAAGACAGGCGCACTAGAAACATGCCACTCACTCAACCACACCCTAACCCCTCACCTGTGGCGGCGCACAAACGCCATCCAGCGGTGCATAATGCCCTTCTCCTCTCCCAACACGTCCTCAAACTCGCCCAGCAACTGCCGCGGCGGGCGAGGGAGAATAGATAAAGAGGGGCACTAGAAGAGGGCGGTAAGGGGTGTGCACTGTGCAGGAAATGACGGGGCGTAAGAAGAGGTAGAGGAGGGGTAGGGGGAAGAGGGAGAGGTGCAAGAAAGGGTAGATGAAGGGTAGGGGAAAGAGGGAGGGGTGCAAGGAGGGGTAGAAGAGGGGTAGGGGAACGGAACGAGGGAGGGGTGCAAGAAGAGTACATGAGCTGTCCATACGAGGCCTCTGCCAACCCCCACTCCCCACCGCACCTTCCAATCAGCACCACTCCAACCCCGCCATTCCCCACCCCCCACCCTCCTCCACGCCCCACCCTCCCCCACCCGCCCCCATCCCCCACTCGCTCCCATTCCTCACCGCACCTTTCGGTCGGCATACGAGGCGGCAGCTTCGTCCCACTCGTCCTCGCTGTCTGAATCCTGCACCATCTCCTGCGCCGTGATTGGCTGGCTTGGGGAGATACGGGAAACACGCAAGGGACAGGGAAAGGCAAGCGATAGGACAAGAAGTGGCAATAGGTTAGTCCCAAGAGCCGCCGTCCAAGAGAACGCAAGCTGCAGTTGTTGCAAGCGGGAGTACGATCAAGGGAGCCCCATCCAGGAGCCATGACTTTACGTGGCAGCAGCTTTTAGCAAAAACATTGGTTTGTTTTGCGTAAGCTTGCTTGAAAAATCCATAGTACAGGAAACGTTGGCGGTAACCAGTTTCAGCTCTTCGAGGCTTCTTCAGACAAGTGGCAAGAAGTGACAAGAAGTGGTGAAGTCACGAGCCGCCGTCTAAGAGAACGCAAGCTGCTGATGTTGCAGGTGAGAAAAGGTTTCGGACTTGACTGGAAGAGGGGGAGGGAAGGGGGGGAAGGTGGGGGGGGGGGGGCACTTGACTGGAAGAGAGGAGTTGCCGGCCGACGGAGCTGCTACGTGGTGACTGACAAGTCGAGTCAGGAGCCCTTACTCACCTGCCATCGCTGCGAGTGGTAGAAGGTTCTCTGCAGGAGCCCTGATGACCTGCATTCAGCGAGTCGGGAGGGGTGGTGAGTGGGGGAGGAGTGGTGATTGAGTGGAGGGAGGTGGTGAGTGGGGAGGATTAATGAGTGGGAAGCGGTGGTGAGTGGGGAGGGGGTGTGAGAAGAAAGGACGCACATCTATGCTGTCTGTGGAACTGGGTTCACTACATATCATGCTTGCGGCAATTATGGTAAGAAATGGCACAGCATGGCTCTTGGGTCGACCCAAAAGCCTGTGGATCTGGGTTCTCAGACATAAAAAGTTCGTGGCAATTATGCTATGGCACAGCATGGGTCACACCCACCATGCATGCACCCACCCACCATTTCCTGCAGACCTCCTCCCTTGCCTCCTCTTCAGCCCGCTCAAATCGACGCCCTGACAACAAGCAAGGTCGGGGTGGAGTGATGAGTTGGGGGGAAATGAAGAAAGTGAGTGTGGTGAGAGACGATTTAACATGGATTGGGTGAGACAGAGAGGAGGGTGGGGCAGGAAGTAGGGAGAGGATGATGGGAGGAAGAGGGGCGGTGGGATCGTAACCAAAGGTGAGAGAGTGCTGTGCGGTGGGAGAGACAGAGAGGAGGAGGTGGTGCCAGAGGGATGCAGGAAACACAAAGGTTGGTTTCTTTTTCATCACATGCAGCAGTTCAGCCACGAGATATTAGTGTGCTTTTCAGAAGTCTCAAGAACAAAAACACACTTATTTCACGTTTCATCGCGTGCAGCAGTTCAGCCCGTTGTGACGCCTTTGCATCTCCCTCGTAGTTTTCCTCCCCTCGCATTCTTCCCTCACATTCTTCCCTCACATTCTCCCCTCCTTCTCCCTTCCTTTTCTTCCATACACCTTCTCTACCAGTACCAATGTGCAACCCACCTGATAAAAGTGATGTTTTGAGACGTCTCAAAACATCTCTACCGATACCAATGTGCAACCCACCTGATAAAAGTGATGTTTTGAGACGTCTCAAAACATCTCTACCGATACCAATGTGCAACCCACCTGATAAAAGTGATGTTTTGAGACGTCTCAAAACATCTCTACCGATACCAACGTGCAACCCACCTCTGTCTCTTGAAGCCTTCGCTTCCGCCCGCATCTCCTCAGCAATCCTTTGAGCCACCTCCAATGACATTTCTACTCTCTTCTTCTCCTCCACTGCCTCCACTTTCCCCTCCGCCTTCTCCTTCCCCTTTTTCTTCTCCTTCTCCTCTCTCTTCCCCTTCCTTTCTCCCCTCTCCTCCTCCTTTGCTCCCTCCTCCTCTGTCCCCTTCTCTTTTAATACCCCCCCACCCCCAAAATCTACTCTTTCTTTTCCTTTTGCTCCCCCTGCTGCTGCTGCTCCTGCTCCTTCTGCTGCTGCTGCTGCTCCTGCTCCTTCTGCTGCTGCTGCTGCTGCTCCTGCTCCTTCTGCTGCTGCTGCTGCTGCTCCAGCTGCAGCAACACAAACATCACCTGCAGCAGCCCCACCATCCTTTTCACCACCCACACAAGCGCCACTGGCATCCTCACCATTGCGATTATCTCTGGCAGTGCTGGCATCATTATGATCATAATCATCGTTATCAACACCCCATACACCATTGCCATTATCCCTGGCACCACCAGCACACAGGGAATCCTCCCCACGTCCCTCCCTCGCTCGCATGATGCAAGGTGTTTCCTCACATCCCTCATCCCTCCCACATCCCTCCCCACGTCCCTCCATTGCTCGCATGATGCAAGGCGCTTCCTCCTCGCCCACACGCTGCTGCTGCTGCCACTGCTTTCCTCTGCCTCCTGCTCGCTTGTTGCGATGCCTGATGGTGAGAGCAAGTGGTTCAAAAAGGGGATATAAGCGGTAACTGAGAGAATAGTAACAAAGAGTGGTAACTCAAGAGTTTGAGAACGATTTGAGTGCGGAATCGGAGCAACCGCACCAGCTGCACCAAGGGTTAAAAGGTGAACGACCCTCCAACCCTTCCCATCCTTCCCACCCCTCCCGAACCTCCCAACCCTCTCGGCCATCCCCACCCTCTCGACCCTCCCTCACCCCTCCCAAACCCTCCCAACCCCGGCACTTCTCCGTCCCACCCCTGCCACCCTCCATGCCACTGCAAACACAGGCATCCTCTTGAACGGTCCTTCGTATTGATAGCATCCTATCTCTCTCTCACCAGAAGAATGGTGGGCCTTTGGCTTGCTGCCGATGAACTGATGCCGATGCCGTGACTGCTGGGCTCTCCAGATCCTGCAGACGAAAACGAATCGACAATTTTACTGCGTTGGCACAAAAATCTCGTGCTCGTGCTGCTCGTGCTGCTCGTGCTCAAATGTGCATCTATCTGCTTGGGCCAGCGCATGTGGTTACCAGCTGAGGCCAGCGCATGTGGTTACCAGCTGAGGCTTGCAGGTGACGTGGACGACTGGCAATGGCTGCTGGAGCTGAGAGGATCAAGAGGAAGGGAGGGAGGGGAAATGGGAAAGGAGGTGGGCATTCAGTTTGAGCATGATCCTTAAGTAGTTGACTAGAAAAAGAGGAAATGGGGAGGGAGAGGGGAAAGTAGGGGAGGGAGACAGGAAAATTTATGAAGACGACTTCTGAGGCGCCTTCTAAAGCATGATGGGTGAATCGTGGAATGAGGGCGATGGGATGGGAGGGATTTTGAGTTGAATCGAAATTTAATATGAGGGCGATGGGAGGGAAGCTGGCTTGAGAGGGAACAGGAGCTCACATGGAAGGTGTAGTCAAAGCGGCTGTGAGAAGCTTCCAGGTGATTCCTGAGACCCTGATGGCCAAGGGAGGAGAAAGAAGCAGAGAGAATGAGAAGCAGATAGCAACAGGCATGATTCGCACATGAGATGGGCAAGGAGGTTAATGATTGCATTACCACAGCTGCGGCTGAAGAATTCTTCGAGGTGAAGATGGCATGGGAGAGTGTGAAGACGAGATGGCATGGGAGAGTGTGAAGACGAGATGGCATGGCATGTTCCAGCTAAAAGCAGCAACAGAAACTCACAACAGACAGTCCAAATGTAAATAACAAACCACACCGTCATCAGTTCAGCACAATCGAACATGTCATGCACAGGTAGCACCACACCGCACGCACCATACCTTACCACACCGCACGCACCATACCTTACCACACCGCACGCACCATACCTTACCACACCGCACGCACCATACCTTACCACGCCGCACGCACCATACCTTACCACACCGCACGCACCATACCTTACCACACCGCACGCACCATACCTTACCACACCGCACGCACCGTACCTTATCAGACCACGCCAGTAGCAAATACAGAGTCACGGAAATTCTAAGGCTCACCCCTTTGTTGTTTTAAACCATACAGAAGAGATCGAGGCTCAAAACACACATCAATAAAATTCACTATTTCTGAAGTGAGTGAGTCCTTCGTTGAGAAACATTACATATGGAGGACACATACGGTACTAGGTGAATTTTGAGTCGACTCAAAAGTCACCTCTTTTGAGTTGACTCAAAATTCACTTCAAAACATTATATATGGAGGGCACATATGGTACTTCCTAACATAGGGTAGAGGCGGAGACACACCTTGGTGGTGCCACATGCAGTGCGGCAGATGGGGCAGCGGGAGCGACGCACGGCTTGCGACTTGCGCTGGCTGCCGTGGCCAAACCAGAAATGGAAGAGCACAGTACCGTCTCCACATGGCTGGGGGGAGTGCGAGGGGTTGGGTGGGGAAGCGGAGGAACACCCCTCGCTGCTGGCAGTGCTGGCAGTGCTGGCAGAGTTGCATGCTTTAACGAATTGCTGCCACAGCACAACTCTATCTCACCTGAGCGGGCAGCAGCACTCTGCCTTCAGGAACACCCCTCGCTGCTGACAGTGCTGGCAGTGCTGGCATGGTGCAGGCAAAGCATAGTACTACCACTGCCCACCCACGCGTCAACCCACCTGCACGGGCAGCAGCACTCTGCCTTGCAGGAACACCCCTCGCTGCTGACAGGACTGGCAGGGCGACGGCCGCACGTCCACAAACAGGCGCTCGCTCATCTCCTGCCACAGAGAATGAAAATAAGGGGGTTCAACGAAACTTCACTTTTGAGTCGACTCAAAAGTCACCTGAATGAAAGTAAGGGGGCTTAACGAAACTTCACTTCTCCACATCCCCACAACAGGCAGTCACTTATCTTGGGCCACAGGGATTCAGGCATTCCTCGGATCTCAATCATATCAAAACCACAACAACAAGAGCTAGTGGAAGAGGCTGTGTGGTTAGAGCACAGCAACCTTTGTCCCACCCTCTCTCCTCCACCCTCTCTCCCCCACTCTCTCTGCCCCACCCTTGTTGTCTCACCTGGCCTGTCTGGTCGGCGTGTGGCAGAGGCTGGAGGAAGAGAGCGGGTCGCTGCGACGAGCTCTGCGCTGAGTGCGCTGGTCGATCCTGATGGGGTAGTGCGAACGTGGCACATGAAATATTGTGTGACTTGTGAGTCGACTCAACAGCCGGTCTGGCCGGCGTGTGGTAGAGGCTGGAGGAAGAGAGCGGGTCGCTGCGACGAGCTGCTGTGTGCTGTGTGTGCTGGTCGATCCTGATGGGACCATGAGAATGTGACGCATGGGATGCCGGGTGACGCATGGGATGATGGGTGGTGCATGGGATGGTGGGTGGTGCATGGGATGATGGGTGGTGCATGGGACGATGGGTGGCGCATGGGATGACGTTTGGAACCACATAGCGCTCACCACACCCCCTCCCCCCCACCATTACCATCGAACTCACCACAACCATTCCCAGACGTAAGTTAATGCAGCGTTGCCGCCAGAACCAAGCTCCACTGACTTGGTGGTTCGGCAACTGGCTCAACTGGGCAGGTTCGGCTGAGCCAGGTTCGACAGAGACAGGTTCGGCAGCAACAGGCTCGGTCGACAAATGGCCCCAGAAGACAATTCTAGGTTCGGATGCACCATGTCCAAACATGGCTGAGATGGCAGGTTCGCCGACAGATGGTGACACGCCATTGGCTACTGAGGGAGGTTTGGAGACACGTGGCACAAAGCCATTGACCAGAGGGCGACGCTGCGAATGTGAATGTGGATGTGGTTGAGACTGATGGGATGATAGTCCCATGTGGTGGTTCACACATGGGCTGTGCACGCCGCGTCGAGGAGCTGCAATGGGGAAGAAATACCAGCATCAGGGGAAAACGATTCTTGTATTTTTACTCGACTAAAAAACCCAGACTCGTTGATGGGGAAGAAAAACGGCATACGGAGAAAACGACTTTTGAGACGCCTTGAAGTTTGTTGAGGAGCGGTGATGGGAAAGAGAAACGGCACGGCACGATGGGAAAACGGCCAGGCAGAAGGTGGGTTGGGAAGCAGAGGCAAGGTTGGGAAAGAGTGGGCTGGTTGCTGGTGAGGAGAGGAATCGAGACACAGTGTGCTGTCAGAGAGACCCCACACGGATGGGCAGAGAGACTTTTGAGTCGACTCAAAAGTCAAAGAGTGGGCTGGTTGCTGGCGAGGAGAGGAATCGAGACACAGTGTGCTGTCAGAGAGACCCCACACGGATGGGCAGAGGGAGGTCTATTCTTTAGGCGCCTATAGATTTGACCTCTATCAGAAGAAGCAGAAGCACAGATGACAATCGGCCGCTGCCGTTTTTTCTTTAGAAGCCTCAATATAGACGGAGAGGAACGAATGAATGAATGGAGAAGAATGGGTGGGTGGTTGGATAGAGAGATGCAGCACACTCACGGATGACGAGCAGAAGAAGGCCTTAGTTGGCCGAAACGCGTTCGCACGCGAAGGCTTGCAGCGGATCGAAACCAGCTGATTTCAACTGGGTGGTTGGATAGAGAGATGCGGCACACTCACGGATGACGAGCAGAAGAACAGACGACGACCCACCACTGACGTCCATTGGCAGCACCATGCGCCTTGGCAGAGAGGAATGAAGGGAGAACGATGGGTAGACAGAGATGGGAGCCAGGCACACTCACGGATGACAAGCAGAAGAACAGACGACGGCCCACCACTGACGTCCATTGGCAGCACCATGCGCCTTGGCAGGGCGGATATGTCGCTCTCTGGTGACCCCTGCTCATGCGCACTGCCACGCTCGTAGTGTAGCTGGTGCTCGTGGTGTAGGTAGAGCGAGCGAGGAGGTACACTTACGGATGATGAGCAGAAGAACAGACGACGACCCACCACTGACGTCCATTGGCAGCACCATGCGCCTTGGCAGGGCGGATATGTCGCTCTCTGCTGACCCCTGCTCATGCGCACTGCCACGCTCGTGGTGTAGCTGGTGCTCGTGATCGTGGTGGTGATGGGAATGATTTGTTGCTGCGGCTGGGGCGTCGACAGCTTCCAGCCTATGCAACTCCCCTGTAGTCCCGTTGTGCACGGCACCACTGTTCCTGCTGGTACCAGCAGCAGCTGCAGCAGCAGGAGCAGCAGGAGGAGGAAGAGGAGGAGGAGCAGCAGCATTGCCATCAGTGCTGGCACTGCCAGCACCCCAGGTTTCGAGCACAGGAGCGCACAGCACGGCAGAAGAAGCCCTCACAGAGTAACGGTCCCATGTGCCAGCTGCACCATTTGCACTGATACCATTCGCAACTGTGCCATTCGCAACAGCGCCATTCGCAACTGTGCCATTCGCAACAGCGCCATTCGCAACAGCGCCATTTGCACTGACAGCATTTGCTAAACCAGCACCGGCACCACTAGCACCCGCACCATGTGCACTAGTACCCGCTGCTGGGGTAACAGCAACAGCAGCAGCAGCAGGAGAAGTGCGTGTGAGAGGAATTGCAAGCACCATGAGGTGAGACGGCAGGGGATGGAGGGGCTGGGGCGACGGAGGAGGAGGAGGAGGGGCTGGGAGGGAGTAGGAGAGGGATGGAGGGCAGTTGGGGGAGGAGGGGAGGGAGAAGGCGGAGGAGGAGGAACAGGAGGCCATTCGGAGAGTGATGGCGCAGGTGCAAGTGGGGGAGTCGGATGGGTGAGCGGATGGGGTGGTGGATGGGGGAACAGATGAGGGTTCGCAGGGCCTGCAGGGAAAGAGGGGGGAGATTAGAGGGATGGGGGGATGTGAATGAGCGAATTAGTAGTCCTGGGCTCGAGAAAGCCAAGAGATAAGCTTGGACTCATGGCGGTGGATCTTAAAAGCTGGAATAAAAAAGGTTCTGGATAGGAATGTGACTATGGTGCCACGCTGGGCCATTTTGAGACGTTTTCAAAGCTGCCAGGCTAGACTGGGCGCTTGAAACAACAAGCTGAGGCGGCGTCAAAACCCCACCCTAACCACCACATCCCCACTCTATCCATCCCCACCCTAACCAACTGCGTGTGCCTCCCACCAATGCGCCCACTATCCCTCCTCACCCTCCTCCTGTGGGCTTCTCTATCCACCTCGAACCCCAACGCACTATGATCACCGCACTGTACCCCCCTGGATCCCTCCTCACCCTTCCACTGCGTGTCCCAGCTGTTGCTGCAGCTGTCGCCGCTCCTCCCTCTCCTGCTGCGCTGCCGCTTCTCGCCGATACCTCAGGGTGCGTGGCAGGAACACACGCTGCAAGCGTGGGAATGAAAAGGGTCAGTTGAAATTGGGCGTCACTGCTCAAATACTACAGAGTCGAACATGCCAAGCCACCTTTTCCAGCCCATACAAAAGCAGCACAGCTGCCCCGCACACGAGCCCATCCACTCTTCTCCCAAGCTCCTCCAGGGTGCTCCCTCCAGTCGGCCTAAAATACCTGACTTCAACACCCTCTTCCCCTCTCCCCTCTCCACACACTTACTCCACTATCCCCGATTTACCATTGTCCATCCGAACATCCGACGAGATGAGTCGATTTTTGAGTCGACTAAAAAATTGACTCATCACAAGGGTAAGGGAGTCATTGCTCAAATACTACAGAGTCGATTTACCATTGTCCATCCGAACATCCGACGCTCACCGTTCCGTGGTTTTGCAGACCCGCGTAGAGCTGCATGGTTTTCATGTAGGCAGGTAAATCTGCCACGCCATTCCCCAACCACCACTCTCCACCGTACCGTTGTCCATCCGAACATCCGACGCTCACCGTTCCGTGGTTATGCAGACCCGCGTAGAGCTGCATGGTTTTCATGTAGGCAGGTAGATCTGCCACGCCATTCCCCCACTACCACTCTCCACCGTACCGTTGTCCATCTAACCGACGCTCACCGTGCCGTGGCTTTGAAGAGCCGTGTAGAGCTGCATGGTCTTCATGTAGGCAGGCAGATCTGCGACACCAGTGTCGCCTGCGACGCCGTTCTCGCCTGCGACGCCATTCTCCCCTGCGACGCCATTCTCGCGGTGAGGCGACTCAGAAGTAGGCTTGCCGAATGCAGGTACGTCGCCATTTTCCCCATCGTTGCCGCTCGCCATTGACGCGACTTAGGAAGCTAAGTACAGGTAACAGACACAATCTGGTCGACGAAACTTGAGGCGCCTAGGATAGAGCCGTTGCTCGCTTCGCTACTGGCGCGACGGAGGAAGCTAAGTACAAAGAACAGATACAATCAGGTCGACGAATCCTGGGGTATCAGTTTGACGAACTTGAGGCTCTCATATGAAGCTGCGGCTCGGCATTGACGTGACGGAAAGGCAAAGTACAGAGAATAGAGACTCCCAAGTGGACGGAATATGAGGCGCCTCGAATTAAGCTGCAGAGACTAAGGAGAAGAAATAGACGGAATCGACGATACGAAGGAAAGTAGACGTACGGAGGCAACGAACGGCGAGGGCTACGCATTTATCCGTAGAAGTAGCTGAGAACTTATCAGGATCGAGCTGCAGCTCAAAGCTTGGCAAAACCAAGAACTTATTCCTGGCGACTAGCTTCATTATAAACATTCCCAGTGAAGTACGAGTCTCTTGGATGCCATAAATATGGAATGCGCGATCATACTATCAGTGATATTTCTAACAAAAATTGCACGTTTCTAACAAGCATCAGACGTCATGGAAATTAAAGATCGCACAGCTCTATATTCCTCGCAATCTGCTACCCAGACCCAGTTGCAAATCTGAAATACTAAATGCATTTGCCCTCATGTCTCCTTCCCTCGCAGATGTCCCCTCCATAACATAATCCTGGTTACCACCAATCAGGGAACTCTCCAACCTCTGCCTCCTCAACCGGAGCTCATCTTCCTGTGCTTGTCCCCCTACAAGCTGCTCCTGTAGCAGCAGCAGCTGACGAAGCTGTTCCAGCTCTGCCAATTCCTCGTCGGCCCCTCTCCCCTCTTGATCTTGCATTTGCTGCAGTGCGTGAGACCCAGCCTCCAGCTGCTGAGGCAATGCAGACTCAGAAGCAGATCCAGGCTGCGCCAAGGAAGGAAAGGAGTGGTGCTGAATCGCTGGAATGAAACCACGAGTCGAAATGCCACCGGGCAAAAATCCACGTGCAGAATCGGCTGGAGCAGGAGTAACTGCAGCAGGAGGAGCTGTGCCATCAGCAGGTGCAGGAAACCCAGAGGTGAATTGAGGGAAATGCAAAGCAGACTGGGGAGGAGTTGCAGCAAACATAGTCACAGCAGGCATAGTCAGGTCACTAGGAACAGCCACTGCCTTTGCCATGCCTGCCTGTGCTTGTTGACCTGCCACCGCCAGCAGCCAACTCAACCACTCCTGCTGCTGCCTCTCATGCACCCTCTGCTGCTGCTGTTGATCCTGATGCAACATCTCCTGCTGCCTCTGCCCCTGCTCCTGCTGCCTCTGCCCCTGGAGCTGCTGTGGTGGCCTATGGGGTCGCAGCCACGCCTGACTCCCTGCTGAACCCTCACCTCCTCCACCCCCTCCGCTGGCTGGCTGAGCTGGCAGCGATGCTGCAGACTCAACTCTACTTCCGCCACCCCCTCCAGGGCCTCCACCAGTCTCCAGCATCGCTGCCAGCTCAGCCAGGCCAAGATGAGGGCCATGAGCAGCAGGAACAGGGATGGGCCGATGCAGAGCCACTGGCAGCCCAGATTTCCCTGCCACGTCGCCCTGCTGCTGCTGCTGCTGCTGCTGCTGGTGTGACTGAAACTGATTCTGGTGCTGCTGCTGCCTCTGCTGCTGAAGCACCTCCTGCTGCGCCTTTAACCCCTCCTGCATGATCAATCGCTCCTGCTGCTGCTCCTCTGCTGCCACTACCACAGGAGCAGACACAGCACGTCCAGATGCATCGCCAGGTGAAACCTCAGGTGTAACAGCAGGCTTAGAAATAGAACCAGGCTGGCGATGACCAGGCGGAACAGCCACTGCCTTGATAGAGGCTACATGTGGAACAAATGGGGACCATTGTCTACCAGAGGCAAAAAACACCTGCGCTGGAGCAGCAGCGACTAGCGGGAGGGAGGGAGGAACAGAGGCAGGATGAGCAGGAGCGAGTAAAGACGCAGAGGTATCTGCATGAGGCGTTCCAGCAGGGTCAGCAGCAGAAGCTGTTTCAGGGAGGCAAAAGTGGGAAAGAAGAGACTGGAGGAGCTCGGGGGAGAGGGTGGAGAGGAAGGGGTCTGGGGCGGGAGGAGGGAGGAGTGGATGGATCTGTTGCTGGGTGTTGAAATTTGGCATGGTGGGAGGTGCTGCTGGTGGTGCAAGTGATGGTGGTGGTCTAGGAGCTGGAAAGGCTGAGGGCAGAGCTGCTTGTAATGAGGAGTGCAGCAGGGCTGATTTGTGGCACAGAGGGTTGCGGGAGAAAAGCTGCGGATGCTGCTGCTGCTGCAGAATTTTCTGAAGCAGGAGCAGCTGCTGTTGCTGCTGTGCCTCTTGTTGCTGTTGCTGTTGCTGCTGTTGCTGTTCCTGTTGCCGCACTGTTTTCTGTTGTTGCAGCATATTCTGCAATGCAGTGCTCTGCACGTCAATCTCCATCTGCTCTTCTCCTTCACTCCCCCCAACACCCCCACCAAAACCACCACCGATTCCTGCCACAACACCACGCCCCGGCGCAAACCCATGTAATTCAGCACCCAAAGTCACAGCAGCACCAGCAGACACACCCCGGTCCACGCTAGTGGAAGACCCGCAAGGCATGCAGGCTAAAGCCCGGATGCTTGGCATTGACCCGCACTGCATGTCAGCCCAAGCGCTTCTTCCTGCGGCTGCTGTGCTGGTTGCTGTCGTTGCTGTGTTGCCTGCTGCGCTGTAGGGTGCAGCTGTGTGAACCAGCTGCTGCTGCTGCTGCTGCTGCAGGGTAAGCTGTGGCAGGAAAGAAGATGATGACTGCACGAGCATATCCTCTTGATGCTGCTGCTGCTGCTGCTCCAGATAATGCTGGTGGTTTGCTTCGGCTTGCTGTAGTTGTTGTAACTGCTGCACCAGCTGTTGCTCGTGATTTGGCTGCTTTTGCTGCCATTGCTGCTGATGCTGGTAATCTGCTTCAGTTTGCTGCAGTTGTTGTAACTGCTGCTGTAGTAGCACCGGTCGCTGAGGGGTCCGCTCCTCTTGCTGCCACTGCTGCTGCACCTGTTGTTGAATCCGCAGCCGCTGCTGCTCTGGTTGTCGCTGTAATTGCTGTTGCTGCTGTAACTGCGCATGTTGTTGCATGTGTTGCTGTTGTTGCTGCTGGTAGTCTGCTTCGGCTTGCTGCAGTTGTTGCAGCTGCTGTAGCAGCATCTGTCGCTGATGGTTCCGCTGGTCTTGCTGCAACTGCTGCTGCAATTGCTGTTGCAGCAGCAGCCGCTGCTGCTCTGGTTGCTGCTGTGATTGCTGCTGCTGCTGCTGCTGCTGCTGCTGCTGCTGCTGCTGCTGCTGCTGTTGCTGCTGTAAATGCAGATGTTGCTGCTGCTCCTGCTGATGCTCCAGCAGCTGCGTCATTCGAGTCTGGGTTTGCTCCTCTGTCCTCCTCACGAACTCCTCAACCTTCCGCTCTGTTCGCCAGTGCAAAACGCACGCAAAGGAGAAGGAATAAACAGAGAAAAAGGCAAAAGAAGAAGGATTGAATATCTGACGGTAACCATGAGTGACTGTACATGTGGACAAAATGTGGAGAAGAGGATGAGGGACTAGAAAGCATATGTACAAGCAAGGAGCGCTTTGGCACCAAAAGGAGAGCCCCCAAAAGTGTGAGCCGGACAAATCATGCCACGCACATGCACGCTGCCTCACCTCTCCTGTGCAGATTCATGCACACAGAACTAACCATGCCACGCACATGCACCATGCCACGCACATGCACCATGCCACGCACATGCACCATGCCACGCACATGCACCATGCCACGCTCATACACGCTGCCTCACCTCTCCTGTGCAGATTCATGTGACCACCAAGCGCGCGGAACGAACCGAATTCCTTGCCACAAAATCGGCACTCATGACTCGCCTTCTCGCCAGGCCCAGTCCCGGGTTTTCCTGTCTTCTGTGCGTCCCCTTTACCAGTCACATCACCCGGTTCGAACCGAGAATTGAATGCCTGTTGCTGCAGAAGCGTCCCCTTGTCTTTCTGCGTCACAACTGGTGCCGCTACGAGTCCCCCCTGTCCTTGTTCCTCTGTTTGTCCTGCTCGAGCTCGTTCTGCTCCTGCTTTTTCTCCTGCTTCCACTCCTGCTTCCTCTCCTGATTTCTCTCTTGCTTCCTCTCCTGCTTTCACTGCTCCTGCTTCATCCCCGCCTGAACTAAAACGTGCTCTCTCAGCTGCATCCCCACCCCGTCCCGCCCCTAGAGCTCGTCTCAGAGTGGCCCCAAGCGTTGGCCAATCCGCAGCAGCCGCCCTTACCTCATCCTCGCTTGGAAGAATCCGCCGCTTCTTGGGGTTACCACTGCCTCTCCTGCTGCCGCTGCCACTAAGCAAAGAACATCTCTCAAAAGGAAAAACTTCAAGACCTGCCCGTACCGCCAAATTACCCACCCCCCTTCCATCAGCCTGCTCAATGAGCGTATTACCCATGCCACCCTCTCCCTCTCCTGCCAACTTGATTTCCCTCCTCCCCGCAGGCCTGTTCCCAGCCCTAACTGCTCCTCCTCCGCTGCCGCTGGCCTTAAAGCCCAACATTTCCCTCTCCCTCGTCTCTGGACGCTCCTCATATTCCACGTGTGACTGTAGTGAAGGGTTCTCACGCGCCCTCCTGCTGCGGCTGCTGCTCAGGCTTCGAGCCAGGTTACTCTCGGCAGTACAGTGCAAAGAGGCGTCCGGCGCTAGAGCCATAGACCGGGGTGCTTGTAACGGGGATGCACGGTGCGCTAGACTGAAAGGCTCGCGGAAAACAGCAGTCGGAGCCGAGTAAGGAACGCATTCGTGCAACGAAAGAGGAGCAGATGAGCGATCCCGAGATGATTGGGGTGCTCTGGAAGGGGCACTCGCAGCAGCAGGATCACCAAAATTGGCCGGATCAGCTGAATCTGCCATTGGAATTGCAGGTAGGGACTAGTGACTGGATATTTTTTCACATGAACGCGTAGGATCGCCTATTCAGCACAGTAAAAAGCTCGTGTAATACAGCAGGCGTCACATGGGTGACTTGCACAGCTCGATGGGAAACTCCTCTGCAAAACACAGAACAGGCTTTCAAGTAGTCTGCTACCTCCTCTTGTTGTGCTCTTGCCAAGAACAGACTAGTCAGTGGTCCGGCCTGAAGAGCGGCGTGCCGAAGCAGATAAACAGCCTGAGATCTGAGATAGTTTTCTGAAGCCCATCCACGCGGTTGTGCTGCGAGCGAGGCCCACCCGCACGGTTGCGTGCTCCCGCGCGCTTCAGGCTCCTGCTGACGCATGCCTGCTGTTAGTTTCCTCCGAAATTGTGTGTTGCTCCTGAGAGTTCTGCTGACGCTAGGGTTGTGTTGTGCCGCGCTGTGCGCTCGACTCTTTATCCGATCAACGGTTGTCTGATTTGGGTGGATTCCAAACAGCTGCCACGCAGCTGGCCTAACACCCCCAGAATGATTTGTTTACGTGATCTTCACACGCAAACCATCTTCTAAATCTGGAGAATGCCGATAACGATGGGATCTTACAGACAGCTTCCGGACACCCGGCCAAAGGCCACGAAACAACGCGCCCTGATGACGGGTCCTAGAAGTTACGTTTACGCCGTAAACCACGGCGGTGGTCATGCAGCAATCTGTACACGTGTCAGTCGTCAATGTTGAACTCAGCACAGTGTCGCGCGGTGCTGATCGCAGCCTTTTCGCCATCCTCCCGAAGTGATATTGCGACAAAATTGGAAATGTAAAAATCCGAATCTGGAAAGAAGGGACTCGCAGAATCTGGAAAAAAGGGACTCGCAGACTGAGTCTTAACAGTTACGCGACTGTAAGTCTGTTCAGATGAGCTGGCACCTGAAAAGTTACTCCCACATGCCAACGCTGTGGACCCGGAAGTCGCGTGGTGGATGCAGATTTTCTCGCATGCAGTCGAAGAGGCACGATGGCACATATCTAGGAGGACCCAAGATGAATTCAAGGTGGCGGACGATAAGTAGCTCTGTTCCCTTCGTGACTACACTCGATTATAGTACCTGAAGTGTACACAACGTGAAAGTACATTTCTACGGCGAGACAGTAACATACTTGCATATATGATCACGCACAAGTCCTTTTCATTAGTGGAGGACACATTATACTTTGCTGTGTTGTTTTGAAATCAAGATGTACAAGGAAATTGATTTTCCAAAATAAGCGATTTTCTGGAAAGTTTCTCAAATCAGTGTTAAAACAATTTCGTGCCTCGTTTTCCTCCATAGCCTGCAGTGGAAGGCACCCAGGTTACTAATGGGAAGTTGAAGAAGAGTCTTGTCGTAATCTTCCTTGCAACTTTACAACGGATTGTTATGAGTCATCGAGTAAATGTAGCAGCCGAAGCCAGTCCGACTATGTAGTAGTCACTCCGAGAAGAATCACAGTGCTTACCAAAAAAAAACCGCCGTTTTTCTCCAGCATCTGCAAACCTAGCAGCGTCGATGCCATTCGGGCAGATCGTCATTGGCCCGCCAGGGTCGGGGAAGACCACGTACTGCAATGGCATGCAGCAGTTCATGCAGCTTCTAGGAAGGTTCGGTCGGAACATTCCGTGACTTCCGTCGGCAGACTGCTGCCAATTGAAAACGTCTCGCACGAAATTCGATGCTTCTTCCAGTATCCTGTCCCGTTACAATTCATCATGCCGCTATACTCACATGCCGTTATACTTCCGTGCCGTTACAATCCCTATGCATCATAATCCCGTGTCAAATCATCATCCCAGGAAGGTGGCAGTGGTCAACATGGATCCAGCCAATGATCGCCTCCCGTGAGTGACTTCCCATGCTGTGCTATGCCATCCCATGCCGTGTCATGCCATGCTGCCATGCAATTCCATGCGGTGCCATGCGGTGCCTGCCGTTTATCATCATCCCAGGAAGGTGGCAGTGGTCAACATGGATCCAGCCAATGATCGCCTGCCGTGAGTCACACTCCATCATATGTACCCCATGCCATCCCATGCCGTGTCATGCTGTTCCATGCCATGCCATCCCTTGCCGAACCATGCTAACCCCCCTCAGCTATCCCCCCTCGCCCTGCACCCCTGCTCAACTAACCGCGCACGCAGGTACGGGTGTGCAGTGAACGTGGAGGAGGTCCTTCAATCCTCGCCCTTCCCCTTTTCAATCCTCGCCCTTCCCCTCCCTTTCCCCGTTCCTTCACCCCTGCCTTGCCCCCCTGACCGCGCAGGTACGAGTGTGCAGTGGACGTGGAGGAGCTGGTTCGCCTAGAGGACGTGATGGGGCAGCACGGACTCTTTGTGAAGCGCCTTACGCACACAACCTGCACTTTATCCCCTCCCCCACCTCTGCTCTGCCCCTCTGGTCGTGCAGGTACAAGTGTGCAGTGAACGCGGAGGAGCTCGTTTGCCTGGAGGACGTGATGGGGCAGCACGGGGTCTTTGTGCGGCTCAACTCCACCCCCTTCCCCTTTTCAATCCTCGCCCTTCCCCTTTTCAATCCTCGCCCTTCCCCTTTTCAATCCTCGCCCTTCCCCTTTTCAACCCTCGCCCTTCCCCTCCCTTTCCCCGTTCCTCCACCCCTGCCTTGCCCCCCTGACCGCGCAGGTATGAGTGTGCAGTGAACGTGGACGAGCTGGTTCGCCTGGAGGATGTGATGGGGCAGCACGGGCTGTTGCTGAGGCGTGTCTAACACAAACACAAACTCCCCCCTTCCCTCGTCCCCTCTTTCCTCCACACTTTCCTTCCCCGCCCCCGCTGCTGCACTCCCTGACCGCGCAGGTACGAGTGTGCAGTGAACGTGGAGGAGCTGGTTCGCCTGGAGGACGTGATGGGGCAGCACGGACTGGGGCCCAACGGAGGTGAGGTGAGAGGCGGAGAGGAGAGGGCTGGGAGTGGGGCGCGGGAGTGTGGATGTTTCGTTTATTCATTTTTTATTTACTCGATGCAACACGGGCTTGGGCCGAATGGTGGTGAGCTGACAAGCGGAGAGGGCTGCTAAGGAGTAAGAGGTTGTTCAAATTTTTATTGTCTATGCATATATATCTATGTATATAGATAAACATATGTATATTGGTTTTCCTACATGCAGGTCTCGTGTACTGCATGGACTACATATACAAGAACTTCGACTGGCTGCAGAGCAAGCTGAAGCTCCTTGACTTTTGAGACGTTTGGAGATTCTCATCTCCCCCCCCTACCTCGTCCCTCCCCTCCCATCCCCAGGTCTCGTGTACTGCATGGACTACATAGACAAGAACTTGGACTGGCTGCAGAGCAAACTGAAGCCATTTTTGAGACGTTTCAAGGCTCTCATTTCCTCGCATCCTCCCCCTTTTCCTTCTTCCTCACTCCTCCCTCATCCTGCATGCAGGTCTTGTGTACTGCATGGACTACATCGACAAGAACTTCGACTGGCTGCAGAGCAAGCTGAAGCCTCTTGAAAAGGGTCAGTCCTACTCTGCTGCCTTGGTGGCTCAACTGCCCAGTTCGACCTGAATGGCTGTGCTTGCTTGTTCGCTTGCTTGTTTGTTTGCTCTTATGCCAGCATTTGCTGGTGCTTCTGCTTTCACCCTGCCTTGAGATAGTTCTACTACTCAGTTTCTACTCAAAACCGTCCCGTTTCACCCACCCTCTGCCCCCTCCTCATCCCCGTTACAAGCAGACCACTATTTCCTCTTCGACTTCCCCGGGCAAGTGGAGCTATTCACTCTGCACGCCAGCGCGCAGAGCATCATCAAGCGCCTCACTGACAAGATGCACTACAGAGTGAGTGTGGTGGTCAATGGGGTGGGGTATCAGATATATCCATTCACACGCATGGCTCATAAGGCGCCTCGAAATTCTCCCTGCAGTCTATTCACTCTGCACGGCAGTGCTCAGAGCATCATCAAGCGCCTCACCGACAAGATGCACTACAGAGTGAGTCTGGTGTATGGGTGGGGTGTCAGGCAGGCAGGCAGGCAGGCAGCTGTTGAGTTGAGTGGACTGTAGAACAAAAATGTTGGAGGAACAGATCTAGGACGTCCTTTCAGACGAAGCTGACTGGCAAAACTGCTAGTCCAAAAGGTACCACACAAAGAATGTGCCAGCCGGGAATCGAACCCGGGTCTGCACCGGGCACATGGCAGGGTGCTATTCTACCACTAGACCACTGGCACGATCTGATGTCAATACATACACACTCGCCAACCACATGAGCTACAGAGTGAGTCTGGTGGCATGGGGTATATCCGATCTATCCATCCATGCGTAGAAGTCAGCTCCTCCCCACTCTGCTCGGCTCTGCACGCCAGCGCTCAGAGCATCATCAAGCGCCTCACCGACAAGATGCACTACAGAGTGAGTGCAGTGGATGGGTATCAGAGAGCCTAGCAGGTGAGGGATTCAGATCTGCCACCCTCCCCGCCCACCATGCACTCCAGCTAGCGGCCGTGCGTCTAGTGAATGCGCATCTGTGCAGCGAGGCACATTGCTCTCTCCTGTCCCTGCCCTCACTCATATTCACTGCTGCTCTCCCCTCCCCCGCCATGCACTCCAGCTAGCGGCCGTGCGTCTTTGAATGCGCATCTGTGCAGCGCGGCACACTGCACACTGCTCCCCCCTCCATCGGGCAATCCGTAACATGCCCCTCTTCTCCCCCCCCCCACCCCCCCCCCCCCTTTCCACCACGCACACCAGCTAGCGGCAGTGCGTCTAGTGAATGCGCATCTGTGCAGCGAGGCACATTGCTCTCTCCTGTCCCTATCTCCCTCCGACCTGCCAAGGCCCGACCCACCTCTCCCCTCCCACCCGTGCCCATGTGCACACCAGCTAGCGGCAGTGCATCTGGTGGATGCGCATCTGTGCAGCGAGGCACACAAGTACGTGGCGGCGCTGCTGCTGTCGCTGCAGGTAAAAGGGTGACACAAGGCTTCGCGTCCTGCCAGGGGTCTCCACAGGCGCTTCCCTCAAGCTCTGTCGGTTTTCTTCTTCTTCTTCTTCTTCTTCTTCTTCTTCTTCTTCTTCTTCTTCTTCTTCTTCTTCTTCTCCTCCTCCTCCTCCTCCTCCTCCTCCTCCTCCTCCTCCTCCTCCTCCTCCTCCTCCTCCTCCTCCTCCTCCTCCTCCTCCTCCTCCTCCTCCTCCTCCTCCTCCTCCTCCTCCTTCTTCTTCTTCTTCTTCTTCTTCTTCTTCTTCTTCTTCTTCTTCTTCTTCTCCTCCTTCTTCTTCTTCTTCTTCTTCTTCCAGCTTCTTCTTCTTCTTCTTCTTCCAGCTTCTCCTTTATTCAGTTTTGGTTTTCAATTTCCCATAACTTTTCTCTGGGTTTCGTCTGCCTTGTTTGCTATGTGGGCAGGCGATGTTACATTTCGAGCTGCCACACGTCAACGTGCTCTCAAAGATAGACCTCGTCGAGGCATATGGGCCCCTGGGTGAGTGGATCTCTTCGGCCTCTTCCGCTCCCCATCTCCTTCTTGATAATGGAATTTTTTTAGACGTCTCGAAAACAATCTGGGTTGCTCTGCTACATGGATGTGCGGGAACTCTTGTTCTTGCAGCAGAGCAGGCGTCTGAGGCGACTTCTCGACTTTCCCCGCCCCCCTCTTGCCCACTCCCACCACTCCCCCTCTCCACACCCTTCCTCCCCCAGCATTCAACCTCGACTTTTACACAGACGTGCAGGACCTTTCGTTCCTGCAGCAGAGCAGGTACCTGAGCTTACTTCTGACTGAATCTTTCACTCTCTCTTTCCCCCCCCGCTCCCTTCAGCATTCAACCTTGACTTCTACACAGACGTGCAGGACCTCTCGTTCCTGCAGGAGCATCTCGAGAGCGATCCACGCAACAAGCGATATGCGTGAGTGCACATTCCATTCGCCACGCGCATTACTCCACTCTCGTTCCTTTCCATTCCACTGTCCCGCGTCTTCAGGCCAGCTGATAAAGCCTGAACGATGTTCTTCTGTTTGGTTTGAAGCTGCCACTTCTCCCTGGTGCCATTCCTGCTTTTCCCCCAAAACCATACACCCTTCCACCACCTCCTCCCTCCCCCGCTCTCTTCTTCCCCTTCCCCTGTCCTCCTCGCCCCCTCGCTCCCAACGCACATGGCAGCAAGCTGACATCAGCAGTGTGTGAAGTGGTGGATGATTTCGGGCTCGTCTCGTTTGAAACCCTCAACATTCAGGTGGGCTGACCATTTCCTCGCCCCCACTCACTCACTCACTCACATGGCCCACATTGCTCACCCCCACACACCTTACTCTCCCCAACGCCCCACTCGCTCCACTCGCTCCACTCACCCCAATCTCTCCTGGCGGCATTTCACTGCTTGCTGCTGCTGGCGCCCCTGCTTGCCTGGCAGGACAAGGAGAGTGTGTCGAATCTGATCCGCACAATCGACAGGGCGAACAGCTATGTGTTTGTGGGGATAGAGGCGAGCGCTGCCGAATATTCCAAGATTGCCATCCGCTCCCTGCAGTGGGAGGAGGAGAGATATCCCCCTCACTCACACGCACTCACTCACACTCACTCACATGCACACACACACTCTTGCCTCTCGCACTCACGCACTCTCCCTTCCGTCCACTCTGCCCGCCCTGCCTGCCTGCCAGGACAAGGAGAGCGTATCGAATCTGGTCCGCACAATCGACAGGGCGAACGGCTATGTGTTTGCAGGGATAGAGGCGAGCGCTGCTGAGTACTCCAAGATTGCCGCACGCTCCATGCAGTGGGAGGACGAGAGATATCCCCCTCACTCACACGCACACACTCTTACCTCTCGCACTCACTCTTTCTCTCCCTTCTCCTCTTGCGCACGTTTTTTGCCTTCCATGCTTCTCCCCACTTCCAATGTACCATACTCTTGCAAAAGCCTCCCAGTTTCGGTTTTCCTCCCTTCCCTGCTGTCTTCGTCTTCTGATTCCCGCCCTTTTGAAATCCGCTGTCTCTTTTGCTCAAGTTGGCTCACCCGTTCCTCTATCTGCCTAACCACATCTTGCTTCCTTTCAAAATACCGGTACTCTTCTAGCTTCCCTTCCAACTTGCATTTCAAGTTTCCTTAACCTGCACCTTTTCAAACAATCCTTGGTGTGTGCAACCTCGTTTGTGTGACAATGACAATGACAACGACCATCTTGTCCCCATGGTGATCGGCGCTGGTGTTTATTTGGCCTCATGAATTACCTTTCCACAATAGGGGATGTTCAGGAGAAGTACTTTAGGGATGATGAGTCTGGGAAGCGAGAAGAGGGATGAGACTGGCCGATTGTATTACAATGAAAATGGTCATATAATTTAGTATCAGGGCTGTAGGAACATGCCCTCATCAAAAGTTTTTTTTTTTTTTTTTGGATGAATCGGACAGGGCTGTGTATTTTTTATCGTGGAAAACCAGCACACTGTAATGAGTGTACATAATAGCTTAGGTAAAGCTTCCATGAGTTATCACTTCATCTGATTATAACAAGGTAAAACTGCAACATTTACCCCTAAAGCAGTACATGATACCGAGGTCGCTTCTACGCGGGGAAAAAAATACAAACTCGTCGAGTTGGGACTTGATGGCGACTCTTATGACGAAACATGAGATGGCGACCCGTAGGGCGACTCGCCTGGACGACATCGCCTCAATGAGTAGTTGTCGATCAGATCCCGTTGATTCCTTTAAATCTCAGCAAGAGCAGCGATTGGACGACGAGGAGGAAGCCATTCGCCTCCTTACGCGATTGGAACGGAGTCTAGAAGCGGCTGCTGACGTGGCAGCCGTTGAAACAGCGGTCGCCGCTTTGCTGGCACCAAACGTACGCGCTGGAGCGTCGGCTGTAGCATCGGCTGTAGTGGATCGTGCGAGCAACGCGATTGACGGAATCGGATATGAAGCGTTCTCCACGGGCGGGAGAGACCCCGCCGTGACAGAAGCGAGGGCACCGATATTGTCACCTCTACGCGTGCTACTATCGGACCACCTCGCGGCGCTCTCGCAGCTGCTCCTGTTCCGTCCGTACGACAATAGTCCCCCCCGCTTCCTATTCTGCGTCCTCTCCGTTTTTCTCTCTCTCGTTTTCTCCGCTGTCTCGCCGCTCTTGCATCTGCTTCTGCTCTGACCGTACGACAATAGCCCCCTCGTTTCCTCTCCCTCTCACTGCATCCGCATCACTTTTCCATTCCCCCCCGCTTCCCCCCCCCTCCCCTTCCCCCTCCCCTCCTTCCCCTCCCCCTCCCCTTCCCCCTTTCCTCCCATGTCCCCTCCTTCTTCCAGGAGCGGCGCCAGTGCTTCCCCCTTCCGCCCGCCGCGCCCTGCTCGACCCGCTCTTCCTCTCCGCCCCTCTCCCCCCCGCGCTAGACGCCCTCCTCCCCCTCCTCTCCGCCTCCGCCTCCCCCTCCGCCTACGCTGCTTCCACGGACGTGGAGTTGCTTGGGGGGGAAGATGGGGGGAGAGAATTGTGGGGAAAAGATGCGGAGGGGAGTGAGGGAAAGGATGTTAGCATCAGTGGCGGTGCTTCTACCGCTGATGGTGGTGGTGGAGGGGTGTGTGGGAGGGTGGCGCAGGCGAAAAGGAGCAGCGTTGCACGCAAGGAGGCTGAGAGGTAGGAATGTGCTTGAAACAAGCAGGCAATTACCACTTGAGTGTAATCTACGTCCAATGCAGTCCCATCCAATCCAATCCAATCCAATCCAATCCAATCCCATCCAATCCAATCCAATCTAATCCCTCCCTCCCTCCCTCCTTGCACGCACGAGCATCCACGCTTTTCCTCCTCTAGCATATTCTGTTGAGATCTCTAAGAACGGACTCTTTTTTCCTCCCTCCCTCTCATGCGGCCCCATGCGCCCAGGCTACTCCTCCTCACAATCTTTGGCTCGCCTGACGGCCCCACAGCGCAAGCAGTCCGGCCAGGCGGGTTAGAGGGCACGCCTGCATCTTCTACCCCTGACACGTGTCCAAATGTTACTGGAGCAGGGATCATGCAGTCAGGGGGATTGCACCGATTCTTGGTCCACCTGGAATCAAGTGGGTGCACATCAGCAGCTTCCGCCACGTCAGCAGCAGCGTCAGCCACGTCAGCAGCAGGGTGGAGAGGAGAGTACTGCGTGGAAAGAGTGGTGTCCCAGCTGGCATCGGTCACGGATAGGGCGTCACCGCATGCTCCTTCTTCCCTGCGTGCCCCGTACGTGTGCTCTCCTTCCTACCCTCTTCCTCACTGCCCCGCGTGCCCCATACGTGTGCTCCCCTTCCTACCCTCTTCCTCACTGCCCCGCGTGCCCCGCACGTGTGCTCCCCTTCCTACCCTCTTCCTCACTGCCCCGCGTGCCCCGTACGTGTGTCTCACTTTTGAGACGTCTCAAGAGCATGTCTGACTTTTGAGACGTCTCAAGAGCATGTCTGACTTTTGAGACGTCTCAAAAGCACGTCCGAACCCTTCCATCCTTTTGAGACGTCTCAAAACTACCCCTAGCCCGAGGCGAGCCGACACAGGTGTGTAGGTCGTCTTCAGAGCTAGGGGTCCGCGTGTAGAGGGGATAGAGTTCTGTCGTTGATAAAACTCTTTTGAGACGTCTCAAAAGTCGTCTACTTACACGCGGTTTTTATATTGATAGAGTTTTTGTTGCTTGGAAGGCTGGGTGTAGCTTGCAAAAGTTACTCGTTCGCGCGAGGCTCCCGAAGTTACAGCTGGCGAGGAGTGCAGTTTCAACGACACGCCCCGAGGAGTGAAGACTTGGACCACTTGGACTTCTCTAGGTGGACCAGGATTGGCTGACCGGATTTCCAGCCACGGTTGCTCCAGCCTTGAATTTTGGTTTCCGAAACGTAGTGTTTGCCTAAATGCTTTGTTTTCACTCTCTTCTTCATTTCCGCTAGCACTGATGAAGGTTTGACGTGGGGCCTGTCCCAGTCAGCCGAAACATGTTTGCATTTTAATCTCTTTAGTGGAATCGAGAGTTCGGATTTCTTGATTTTTTTGGCACTTAGCAGGGTGCAACATACATATTTGTACTACTGTCTTTCTTTTGCTAAAAGTGACTTCCCAACTGCAGCTCATCCAGTCCACATGGCTGACGTCTCAAGAGCATGTCTGACTTTTGAGACGTCTCAAGAGCATGTCTGACTTTTGAGACGTCTCAAAAGCACGTCCGAACCCTTCCATCCATCATGCCTCTCTCTCTTCTCACGCTCTTTCTCTTCGGCAATACAAAGCACCCACGCTTTCTCTCTGTCTGCTCCTCATCTCCCTCGCTTCTCAATGCACTTGCTCTCCCTGTTGACGCGCCTCAAAAGCAGTCGCCCACACATGCACCACCCGCAAAGGTTCACCACTTGTCCATTGTGTTTGCCAGCGTGACGTGAGCCAAGCTGATTGATTCTCTTGCTCTGATTCTCGTTCCATCCCAATGCCCCGACCCCACTTCCCCCATGCCCCACCAGTCACTTCGTCGCGTCTCTCATCCGCCGATCTCTCACCACCACTGCCACCATCGCTGCTTCTCGCTCCTCCTCCTCACCACCTCCCGTCTCGCCCCCCTCCCAACCAACAAGCGTCTCCCCAGAGGCGTTCGTAGGGCAGCTGGTGGCCAGGCTGTGCCGCAGGGGGCATGCGGGTGAGTGGTGGGGGGGTGGGTATGTGGGTGAGTCGCAGTGGCAGAGGCGTGAGTGGCAGCAGCAGCAGCAGCAGCAGTGGTTTGGCTGTGCCGCAGGGGGCATGCGCGTGAGTGGAGGGGTGAGGGGTGAGGCGTGGTGAGGCGTGGTGAGGCGTGGGGGGGTAGAGTAGCTGGTGGCCAGGCTGTGCCGCAGGGGGCATACGGGTGAGTGGCACAAGGAGCATGTTACACGTGGGCACGATGAGGGGTGGTGGGATGAGGCGGGGAATGGTGTGGTGGGATGAGGCGGGGAATGGTGTGGTGGGATGAGGCGGGGAATGGTGTGGTGGGGTGAGGCGGGGAATGGTGTGGTGGGATGAGGCGGGGAATGGTGTGGTGGGATGAGGCGGGGAATGGTGTGGTGGGATGAGGCGGGGAATGGTGTGGTGGGATGAGGCGGGGAATGGTGTGGTGGGGTGAGGTGTGGTTGGGTGGAGTGAGCTTTGGTGGTTGCACGCATGTGACTGAGGGAGGGGTTCTATCCTCACCCTAAATTGCCCGACTCAGTCGGTTCCGATCCCCCTTGCAAGTTCTCTCCCTCCCTCCGCTTCTCAACCCTTTTCTCTCCCCTCCTCTTCCGTCTCTCTATTCTCTTCCCTTCCCCCTCTCTGCTTGCCTTACTGCAACGGTGGCACCCTCCCGCAGCAACGGTGGCACGTGAAAGAAGAGTGTTTTTGTGACGTCTCAAAATCACTCTTCCCTTCTCTTCCCTTCTCTTTCCTTCTCTTCCCTTCTCTTCCCTTCTCTTTCCTTCTCTTCCCTTCTCTTCCCTTCTCTTTCCTTCTCTTCCCTTCTCTTTCCTTCTCTTCCCGTCTCTTTCCTTCTCTTTCCTTCTCTTTCCTTCTCTTCCCTTCTCTTTGCTTCTCTTCCCTTCTCTTCCCTTCTCTTTCCTTCCTTCTCTTCCTTTCTCTTCCCTTTTCTTCCCTTATCTTTCCTTCCTTCTCTTCTCTTCTCTTCTCTTCCCTTCTATTCCCTTCTCCCTCTCTGCTTGCCTTATTGCACCCCTCCCGCAGCAACGGTGGCATCCGAGCTCATCCACACAGTCATCCGACAGCTGGCACACGCCATGTCAGCGCCAACACACACCAGCAGCAGCAACAGCAGCACCACCAGTACCAACCGCACCACCAGTACCAACAGCACCACCTGTACCAATAGCACCAGCAGTACTAACAGCAGCAGCAGTGGCAACAAACCCACTACCACGTGCCTCAGCAGCTCCTCCTTCCCGCATCTCTCCTCTCTCTACTCCACCATCATTGCCTCCCTCGCTGCTGCTGACGCCTTCCCCCTCCACCAGCTCACCGAGGCCCTCCTTTCCCACCTCGCTGCCCTCTCTGCTGCTCTTGGCATCTCCAGCCACAGCAGCGGCACTACCACCAACACAACCATCAGCAGTAGCAGCACCGGCACCGCGGGCAGCAGCGTGCCGGAAACGGTGTTGCAGCTGCTGTTTCAGAGCCTGCTGCATCAGCGACATCCCCAAGCAGTGTGAGTTGATGATGAATTATGCACACACAGATGCCAACCCCTGCATTGCTGATTTTCTGCCTTGCGAGATCCACAAAAGCCAAGTACTTCTCGCCAATTATTCTCAAATATATCGTTTTTTGTTTACGGACGATTCCTTACTAGTTTAATTGTAAATTTCCAGTCCCCCTCCTCCCCCTTCCTCTCTTCTCCCTCCTCCCCCTTCTTAATGAATCATCGCAGGTTCCTGTTCACCTCTCACCTGAAAGAAGGAGTGTTTTGAGACGTCTCAAAACACTGCTTCTTTCACGTCCCTCCTTTTGAGTCGACTCAAAAGCAGACGTCTCAAAACACTCCTTCTTTCACGTCCCTCCTCCCCCTTCTTAATGAATCATCGCAGGTTCCTGTTCACGTCTCACCTCCTCACTTGCTCCCCTCTTCCCCTCCCCTGCCTGCCTTGGATTGTCACCCTTCTCTCTTCCTCCTCCTCGTCACCCTCTGCTGACGATTCCGCTGCACTCGAGCCAATGGGGCTGTGCCACGTGGCACTAGAGCATGTGCTGCGCCTGTGGAGCTCAGCGGCTATCGTCCAATCAGCATCCATGGAGAAGCAGATCTGTGAGTCAGCAAGAATAAGAAAATATCTGATCTGCGTAACCACTTGTCGTTTTTTCATCTGCGATCCTGTTTTCCTTTCCCTTTCTCCATTCTCCTCCCCTTGCCTCTGATTCGGGCTCCCTTCCTCTTCCCGTTCCTGTCCTCCTGGCAGATGTGACAGCAGCAGCAGGATTCCTCCTCTCCCTCCCTCGCCACTCACAAGCAGCACCGTCTGCATCCTCCGCACGTCACTCCCACCCGCCCCTTCGCCTACACCCATCGCAGCTCACGTTGCTTCTCAAGGGCGTATCCAGTGAGTGCCTTACTTTCAGATGGCGTCTAGTAAGTGTGTTGTATCGTATGATACTGTTTTGGCTACTAGAAATTTGAAGAGTGCAGCCCTTTGTTTTCACAGACCAGCTTAATACGTATCGTGCACTTGCTTCCATGCCCACCGTCCCACAATGCCAAGCAACAGCAGAGGCAAAAGCGACTCAATTCTCACCCGTTGTTTTGCCTCTGTCTCTGCGGTGATGCTGATGCTGATGCTGATGCTGATGCTGTTGCTGATGCTGATGTGCAGTGCGGTTGGAAAGCCCTCTGCCTCTGGTTCGCCTGATGGGTCAGCGCCTTGCCTTTGCCTTCTCTGTGGCCGTTCACCCTGGCCGCCCCCCCATGCTGTTTGGAGAGTTTGCATACGAGCGAGGGGTAGGCGATGAGGAGGAGGGGAAAAGTGGAGGGAGAGGAAGTGGGGGGAGTGCAGCTGCTGCTGTTGAGTTGACTAAAGAGGAGGCCATTGCTGCTGCTCTTGATTTTGCACGTGGATGGGACATTGGGGGGGTGGTGGGGCAGGAGTGTCAGGAGGAGAAAAAGGGAGGGGAAGGGGCGAAGGAGGCTGGTAGAGATGGTAGGGGAGGCGAGAATAGGGAAGTGGAGGAGGTAAAAAGAGAGGGGGAGCTGGATGAGGAGGATGAAGAGAGTGAGGAAGGGAGTGAGGAAGGGAGAGAGGAGGAGAGTGAGGAAGAGTGGAGTGAGGAGGACTGGGATGAGGAGGAAGAGGAGAGTGATGAGGAGTCAGACGAGGACGAGGAGGATGAGAGGAGTGCGGGCATGGGCATGGGAGTGGGCATGGGAGTGGGCATGGGAGTGGGTGTGGGCATGAGTGGGGAGGGGGGTGGAATGGCGGCACCCATGCAGCTGCGCTACAGTGCGGCAGACCTGAGGAAGGCAGATGACGTCAGTGCGGTGAGTGCTGCTAGGGATTTTGTCTACTTCGAAACATTGCTGCTCCCTCTCTTGCTCCCTCTCTCTTGCTCCCTCTCTCTTGCTCCCGGTTCTCCCTCTCTTGTCGCCACCTTCTGTGTTGCTACTGCTTTACCCAAGCCTTATGACGAAAGAACTCAAATTTTGTCTTGTTTTGCTTCTGCATTCATTAACAGATGGAGCAAGCGCTTCTGTCCCTTGAACCAATGATCCGCTGCCAACCGGACGAGCTGGATGACGTGGCAGCTGAGCTGGCACGCTCCCTTATCCACATGCAATGCCAGTTCCTCCTGAAAGGGGAAGATGGCGAGGGGGAGGCAGGGGACGAGGGAGAGGAGGAGATTGGGAGTGGGAGTGAGGAGGGGGGAGAAGGGGAGGTAGCGGAGTGTGAGGTAGAAGAGTGGAGCTCTTTCGGTAATAAGAAGGGCAGAGGAGAAGAAAGAGGGGCAAAGCAACGGAAGGGAGGCAGCATGCAAGGCGGAGGGGAAAGGGAAGGAGGGCAGAGAGCAATGGGAGCGGAGGAGAGGCGGAGAGCAGCGCTGGTGGCTCTGGTTGTCTTTTCCCCGGTGGCATCTCTCGAGGTGCTTCTGGGGGAGGTGTTTTCTGCCCACGTGGACCTGAGTCAGCGCCTTCTCATCCTGGACGTCCTTGAAGCGGCTGCTATTGAACTCGCCTCCTACTCCTCCTCCGCCTCCCCTTCCTCCTCTTCTTCTTCTGCTGCTGCCACACTCGCTCAACCACTCTCTTCCTCCTCGCTTTCCTCCTCTCGTTCACACACTCCCTTGATAGTGGAGATTCACACTGGGCCGACACCTTGGGATCATCCCGCACACTCCCTCTCCCCTTCCCCTCCCGGTGCTGGTAAATGGGTTCAGCTGCCCGGGATTATGCCGGGAGATCTCGGGCAGCCCGAGATGGCGAAGGCAATCTTAGCAGCAGCAGATTTAGGAGGGTTCGGTCTGACTGGGCTCGCGGGCAGCTGGACAAAAAGTTTCACAAGAGACCTGCCCCGGCGCCCTGGTGACCGCATCCTCGGGCAGGAGAAACGAACCTCTAAAACAATCGAATCTGCAAGAGAGAAGCTTCAAGGAAGCAGCGGTCAGAACCAGCAGCTGCACAGTCAGCGCGATGTGTCCACGTGTACCCCTCCACGCGTGCGATTTGCTGACGTGGCGGCGGGGTTCATGCTGCCGCTGATGCGAGCGTACGACAGGCAGAGCCACGGGGTGGACTGGGTGGGGAGGGACTTCGTTGTTCTCGCGCGCGTGCTGCTGCTTCTCGGGAAGTGCCTGCGCCTCCTCGCCCCTTCACCTGCTCTGCTCCCCCTCGCCGCTGCTCTTCTCGAATTCCTCAACGCAAGGTGAGGGCTTTTGAGGTTGGGCTTGGATGGTGTGTGCCTGTGATCAGTGTGTGGCGACTCTGTGCAATGTGGTGATGCGGGTGTGTGCAACAGACAGGCAGAGCCATGGGGTGGACTGTGTGGGGCGGGACTTTGTGGTTCTCGCGCGCGTGCTGCTGCTGCTGGGGAAGTGCCTCCGCCTGCTCGCCCCTTCACCCGCACTCTTCCCCCTTGCGGCTGCACTGTTAGAATTCATCAACGCCAGGTGAGTGGCGTGAAGGTTGGCCTTGCTTGGAGCGGCTGGCTGGTCAGAGCAAGGTGGTGATGTGGAGCAACAGGCAGGCAGACAGGCAGAGCCACGGGGTGGACTGGGTGGGGCGGAACTTTGTTGTTCTCGCCCGCGTGCTGCTGCTGCTGCTGCTGCTGCTGGGGAAATGCGTCCGCCTCCTCGTCCCCTCGCCTGCCCTCTTGCAGCAGCTCTGCTGGAATATCTCAAACGGATCGGGGGTTTTTGAGAATTCTCAAAAACCAGCTCAGCTGGAACATCTCAATGGATTGGGGGTCGACGGTGGGTCGACGGACCGTCGACCACCGCAGACCTGACCGGCGGGCAAAAAACAATCAAAACCCTATTGGATGACATGCCATCCTAGGGAGGCATCCTGCATGCAACGCTGTGCCATTTTCGCTGGAGCCTCAAGCATAGCGTTTAAAATGCAACCACTCTATTGCATTCTTCGTCCCTCTTTCCCCTTGTTCCTTCTCCCCCAATCCGTACCCTCTGCCCTCTTCCCCACCCCTGCAGTCCCATCGCCCAGCATCCAGAGCCCTACGTGCAGCGCTGTGCCATCTTCGCTGCAGCCTCACTGCTCCTCTCGCTGCCCCCTGCTGCCGTCGCAGCCCAAGGGCTTCTCCTTTCCTCCGCCGCTGCCTCTGCTTCTGTTTCTTCTGGAGCTACCACAACCATTGGCTTTGGCGCTATTGCTGCTGTTGCTGCTGGTCCTGGGGGTGGTGGTGCTGGGGGTGCGGGCGTGGGGTTGTCAGGGATGCTGCGGGTGATGGCAGTGTGGTTGGGGAGACTGGCGGAGGAGAGTGGTGACGAGCAGACCAAAGGGGTGAGTGCTGAGATGAGCAGTGAACATGCTGACCACTCCTGTTTTTGCCTATCTGTTTCTTGCCGCACCCCACCCCCCTCTCCCGGTTCTTACCCCGAAGAACATGTCTCCGTTTCTTGTCCATCTCTCCTTCCCTTGCTTTCACTCCTCTGTCCTTTCTCCTTCCTTTTAGTTTAAGCCTTTCTTAACTCCCGTTTCTCCCGTCCCGTCTTTCCTCTCTGTCTCGCACCTGTCCAGACGGCCATAGGGTGCCTCCAGCTGCACGACGATTTCGCCAGGGCATGCCTTTTTTTAGTCGACTCAAGAGTTACCAGCCCCCCTCCTCTCCCTTGCTCTCCCTTCCTGCCCTCTTTGTCTCGCACCTGTCCAGATGGCCTTTGGGTGCCTCCAGCTGTACGACGATTTCGCCAGGGCGTGCCTGCAAGCAGTGCTTGGCAGTACGGTACCCCCACTTGACAGTGGTGCGACAAGGTGACTATGGGTCGACTCAGAAGTGATTCGCCATGACATGCTTGCAGGGGTTACTAAGTTGCAGGGGTTGCTGCTTCTTCTGCCTCTTCACTTGCCTGACCCTCAAAAGCTAAAATCACAAGTGTTGCTGAAGAAAGCAAAGTAGGCAAAGCATTCCCATTCTCCAACACCTTTCACTGTAATATGTCTGCTTGCACCTCCTGGATCCATCTACCTTCAGAAGTGCATCACAATAGTGCCACAATGATAATAATGACGACAATTCCCATCCCACCACATGGATGCAGCATTGAGCACGTGCTTCCCACATGCAGGATGTTCTTGAAAGTTCTCAAGAACACCCTGCCACATGGACGCAGCATTGAGTTGGTAGGTGCTTCCTTTCCACATTGACTTTACAGCCTAATTGCTGGTATGCATTGTTCTGAGCCCATTGACAAGCAACAACAAGAGCTAGAACAAGCCTCCTGCCGCTCTGAAACTAGGTACACATAGCCAATGCCAAGGACTTCTTTACCTCATCCTCCCAGGCTCCCACCCTCACATCTACCCCGCACGTCTGCCTGCTGCCCTTTCTTGAATCCCCTGCAACGCTGTCTCTGCGTGCGTTGCCCCGCCCACCCCCCTCCCCTTCCCCCCTCGCACCTCCAGCACCGTTTGAGGCGCCTCAAAAACCGCCTCACATTTCCCTGCCCTCACACCTACTCCTGCTGCTCTCACACCTCCTCGGGCTGCCCTCACATCCGCCTGCTGTTGTTTCTTGAATCGCCAGCTTCGCTGTCTCTGCGTGCACTGCCCCCCCCAACCTGCAGCTCCAGAGCCTTGCGCACCACCAGCTGCATGCGGTTCTGATTCACTGCACTCATAACCTGTAGGAGGGGTGGTTATAACGAGGATGGGCGTGTGCAGTTATAGGCTGTGCAGGTACTACAGAGTAGTAACACTAAAGATGGTTAAAATTTCTCATACTTTCAATGGCATCCAACCACTGGGCCAGTAGCCAGTCCAGAATCCAGATGTCTCACCTGCCCAACACTCGTCAATCCACAGTCTCACCTGCTGAATGGTGAGGCCGTATTTCTTTCTGAGGTGCCGCCTCCATGCAAGCTGGATGGTTCTGGCAGCGTGTGTGCGCCGGTTGTGACAGCACTCACTGGGGGGGGCGGGGAGGGCGGGAAGAGAAACGGGTGAGCGGAAGGGTGGGGACGGACAGGAACTTAAAGAGAAGAGAGAAGACGGGCAGAGAACTTAAAGAGAAGAGAGAAGACGGGCAGACGGGCAGAGAACTTAAAGAGAAGAGAGAAGACGGGCAGACGGGCAGAGAACTTAAAGAGAAGACGGGCAGAGAGGGCTTTTGAGGCGCCTCAAGAGAAGACGGGCAGAGAGGGCTTTTGAGGCGCCTCAAGAGAAGACGGGCAGAGAGGGCTTTTGAGGCGCCTCAAGAGAAGACGGGCAGAGAGGGCTTTTGAGGCGCCTCAAGAGAAGACGGGCAGAGAGGGCTTTTGAGGCGCCTCAAGAGAAGACGGGCAGAGAGGGCTTTTGAGGCGCCTCAAGAGAAGACGGGCAGAGAGGGCTTTTGAGGCGCCTCAAGAGAAGACGGGCAGAGAGGGCTTTTGAGGCGCCTCAAGAGAAGACGGGCAGAGAGGGGTGGGAAAAGGAGAGGGGGTACAGAGGAGAGCAGAGGCGAGCAGAGAAGAGCAGAGCAGACCGAAACACCTACTTGAGAGCCGCCTGGATCTTGCTGGTGGCGAGCATGCGGGCGAACTGCCGGCACACCACAGCCACATCGGTGGCTTCGAGCTCGTACCCCTCCACGGGCCCGATGCACCGCACCGTGCGCTGCGCTGTCGGCAGCACGTCGATCGCCAACGTGCCCAGCGCTGCTGCTGACGCTGATGCACTCGCACCCATCGTCACCGCTGCATGGGGAATGAGGAATGGGGGAAAGTAGAGGAAACATGGTCACAGCTGCAGGTCGGATCAGGTGAGGTCAGGTCAGGTCAGATCCAGATTAGGAGAGATCCGATCGGATCGGATCAAAATCAGGTCAGACTCACATCGGCCCAAATACCAGATGCTAGCCCTGGACCACAACCCTAAGTGGGTACCACTCACATCGGCCCAAATACCAGATGCTAGCCCTGGACCACAACCCTAAGTGGGTACCACTCACATCGGCCCAAATACCAGATGCTAGCCCTGGACCACAACCCTAAGTGGGTACCACTCACATCGGCCCAAATACCAGATGCTAGCCCTGGACCACAACCCTAAGTGGGTACCACTCACATCGGCCCAAATACCAGATGCTAGCCCTGGACCACAACCCTAAGTGGGTACCACTCACATCGGCCCAAATACCAGATGCTAGCCCTGGACCACAACCCTAAGTGGGTACCACTCACATCGGCCCAAATACCAGATGCTAGCCCTGGACCACAACCCTAAGTGGGTACCACTCACATCGGCCCAAATACCAGATGCTAGCCCTGGACCACAACCCTAAGTGGGTACCACTCACATCGGCCCAAATACCAGATGCTAGCCCTGGACCACAACCCTAAGTGGGTACCACTCACATCGGCCCAAATACCAGATGCTAGCCCTGGACCACAACCCTAAGTGGGTACCACTCACATCGGCCCAGGTAGCGAATCTGGGTGCCTGAGCGCCGGCTCTTGTTGCCGTCCGACAGCTTCTCAAGGTACTCGACCAGAAGCTCCTCCCCCAGGAAGTCCCCCTTCCCCAGTAGCACGCTGTCCACAAAGCCTGCGCGCCCCCCGATGGTGGTGTAGCTCTCGAGCTGGCCGCGCAGCACAAAGAAGAGGCGCGACACGGGGTACCCCTCCTTGAGGATGACCGTGCCCTCTATGTACAGCTGCTGCCTCAGCTTCTCACAGAAGGCGTCTAGAACTTGCGGCTCCATGGCGAAAAAGAGTGCAGACTGGGGGATGGGGAAAGGGGGAAGATGGGGGGCGGGGGGGAGGGGACGGGGAGGGAATGGGGAGATGAGGGGCGTGGGGAGTGGGGGAGGGGCCCCAGAGAGGTGCAAGAACCCCCCGATGGTGGTGTAGCTTTCGAGCTGGCCGCGCAGCACAAAGAAGAGGCACACATGCGAAGAAGACACACGGGGTAGCCCTCCTTGAGGATGACCGTGCCCTCTATGTACAGCTGCTGCCGCAGCTTCTCACAGAAGGCGTCTAGAACTTGCGGCTCCATGGCGAAAAAGAGTGCAGACTGGAGCAGGGGGTGGTTGGGGGGTGGGGTGGGAGTTTGGGGGTTGCAGTGGCTAAGTACCACACTCACACACTACAGCACCCCCACTCACACACTGCAGCACCACCACTCGCACACTCCAGCACCACCACTCGCACACTCCAGCACCACCACTCGCACACTCCAGCACCACCACTCGCACACTCCAGCACCACCACTCGCACCAGGGCACTCACAAACTGCGCCACTCACGCATTGCAGCAGCTCGAGACACAGGCTGCGGCGCACGTCTGTCTGAATGTCATCTGAAAGCTTATCCAACACCTCCGCCTCCTCCACCCCCCTCGTCGCCACCCAGTGCAGCCGCTGCTGCTTCTGCACTCGCCTGGCAGACAGGGAGAGAGGGGAGGGGGGAAGCAGGGTTGGGGTGTGGGGAGGGGTGAAGAAGGGCAATGGAATGGTGATGCAATGGTGATGCAATGGAGGTGGAAAAAAACTTGTGTTTACTGCTCTAACTGAAACACGCATGGAAATCAAGTCGCTCACATCTTGAGTAGAATCAAAACTTTTGAGTTTTTTTAGTCGACTCAAAAGTAATCTAACTGGAACACGCATGGAAATCAAGTTGCTCACATCCTGGAAATCGAATACCAGGACAGGATGTGCATGTGAGGGCGCGAGAACGATGCGTGTGTGAGTGAGCATACTTTTGAAGACTGAGAGGCAGGTTGCGTCGCTCCATCCATGAGTCAATGTCATGGCGCTGTAACTGGTACTCAAAGGACCTGATGAAGGATTGAAATGAGGGGGAAGAGGGGCGAAAGAGGAAGGTGGGAAAAGGAAGGGGAGGAGCAACACGGGTCGATGCCATGGCGCTGCAACTGGTACTCCAAGGACCTGGTGAAGGAGAGAGGGGGAGAGGGGAGCAAGGATGGGGGAGCAAGGAGGGGGAGGGGAGGAGTCACGACGCTGCAGCTGGTACTAAAGGTCCTGGCAGTAAACGGGGGAAGAGAGGGGTGGCAGGGGAGAAGGATTGGAGGAGTAAGTGGGAGACTTCTGAGTTTACTCCCAAACACAGGCCGAAAGCGTTACGTGAGGAGAGGAGAAGCAGAGTGGAATGGAAATATAGACGAGGCAGTGGAGTGGAGATACGAAACAGGAACAACTTCCTGACACAAAATGCTTGCTGGCAAAAGAAAGAAAAACACACACACAGACACACACATGTTTCAACGAACTACACCTACCTTCTACTGAGAGCTTGCAGAAAGTTGGAGATGTTGCCAATAAGCAGTGCGAGCAGCACGAGCCCCAGCCCTATAACGAGGATGACAAAGAGCACCTCGGGATCCCACCTCGATGGCTCCAGGTTGCCTGCTAGCGTGCTCACTTGCTGTGTGTGTGTGGGGGGGAGGGGAAGATTGGGGAAGGGATGGATGAGTCTGTTTTTGAGTGGAATCAAAAGCGGCTCCAGCCCACGAGGATGACAAAGAGCACCTCGGGATCCCACCTCGACGGCTCCAGGTTGCCTGCTAGCGTGCTCACTTGCTGTGTGTGGGGGGGGAGGGGAGGGGGGGGAGGAAGGGTGGGGGATGGGATGACAAAGAGCACCTCGGGATCCCACCTTGACGGCTCCAGGTTACCTGCTAGCGTGCTCACTTGCTGTGGGAAAGGGGGGTGGGTGGCTGATAGAAAGACACAAGAGTCATTTTCTGGGGCGAATCAAGAACAGACGGCTGCAGATTGCCTGCTAGGGTGTTCACTTGCTTTGAGGATAGTGATAGAGAGAGGAGAGAGGGGAAGGAGATGGAAAGGAGAGAGAATCAGAGCATATTTTCTGGAAACATAACAAGGGGGCGAGTTACTTATGCCAAGACAGAGGAAGGTAGGCACGCACCTGTGAGGCCCAGAAGGGGTGAACATGGTTAAAGAGGAACGAGGTGACCTTGCAACAAAAACTGACACGCACCTGGAAGCCCCAGAAGAAGGAGTAGATGTACTTGGAGAGGAACGCCCCTTCCACCACCAGCGGAACAGCATTGGTGAAGATGCCATAATCAATGGGGGACGGCGGGGCGTCACTGCCCGGTGTGTCTGCCACCAGGCACGCGCTGGCCGGCCCGGTAGCCCACACGGCCTCTGCTGCTGTGTTCTGGTAGGCGATGGCGTTTTGGTCGACACAGTACATGTACTCGGGCTGACAGGCGTCGCCCTGAGTGGCACACTGGCCCGCCATACACGTGGTGAAGCGCTGCCAGGAGGGCATGGGAAAGGGGGTGTAGGGAGGGAGTGTAGGAAAGGGATGGGGATATATGGGGTGTACGTGGGGAAGCGGGTGTTGAGAGAGGGTGCAGACAGGGTGCAGACAGGGTGCAAGGAGGGAGAGGAACACAGGTAAGGGATGGGGATATATGCGCTCATGCTGCCGCCTCTGCCGCACCCCCAGCTGCCGCTGTGCTGCATGGGCGGGGGATTGAGATAGGGGGCAGAAGCAGTGGGGAGGTGCGAGCAAAGGGCAAGTGCAAGGCACGACAAGAGGCACTCACCGAGGCGGCGAGGAAGTACCACATGCTGCTGACAATGTTGGACGCCATGAGGTAGAACACGCAGTTGAGGTGGGGTAGTTGGTGCCACTAGGGGGCTGATCTCTTGCCTAACAAGTGCAGTGGTGCTCAAGGCAGAAAACTATAGGCCAAATAGAACGCACTCACCGAGGCAGCGAGGAAGTACCACATGCTGCCGACGATGTTGGACGCCATGAGGTAGAACACAAAGTTGAGGAGGAAATTCGCCCATGCCGTCTCAAACACGAGCCCGGTAACATGCGGCGCGTTGCCCGAGAGGATGGGGAAGAATCGGATGGCCCGGGGGACGTTCTGAGCGAAGAGGGCTGCGAGGCAGAGCACTGTCATGGCGACTCCGGTGTTGGAGGGGACTGATCGACCCATCATTGGCACTATCACCAGCATCACTATCTGGGAGGGTTACGGGAGTGGAGGAAAAAGGTAGAGGAGGAAGAACGGGAAAAGCAGGGTATATGCGCACAAGGGGGTGGGCGGAGCACAAGGGGTCAGGCAACGAGAGTATGGGAGAGAAGCGGATGGCACAAGGGACGTTTTGAGCAGGCAAAATAAAGAAACCCAGGGCTCTGCAGGAGTGCGGTGAGCAGAACAGGGGTAGGCACCACCTGGGGAGAACAGAGAGGCAGCACCGAGTGGGGTGGTAGCCCTCACCTGGGGGATGGGCAGCGCTGCCAGCACGTCAATGAGGAACCAGGAGCGCAGGTAGCGGCTGGCGATGACCCGTGCATCGAACTCGAGGTCGCCCGGGCTCTGCAGGGAGCGGTCGGCCCACCAGCGGCGGAAGAAGCGGTTCTTGCGGTTGGTGGGAGGCGGCACTATGTAAGCCATGCGGAACTGGTGGGGGTACAGGGGGGCGGGAGGGGACAGGGGACAGGAGCAGGGGAGAGAGAGGAGGGGGAGGAGGAAGATGTTTTCTGGGTTTTTGTTGGTTCAGGTTTGGGATTTAATAGAGGGAGATTCGAGGGGTGGAAGAGGGTGTGAGCTTCTGGGGGCTCTGCAAAGAGCGGTCGGCCCAACAGCAGCGGAAGAAGCGATTCTTGCGGTTGGTGGGGGGTGACACTATGTAGGCCATGCGGAACTGGTGGGAGTGAAGGAAAGCGGGGGAAAAGGGGGCGGGAAGGTGGGAAGGGAGGGGATGGGAGAGGGTGGGAGGGAGGGAGAGGAGGATTGTTCTGTGAGTAGGAGTTTGAGGGTTTGGGAATTGGGGGTTTGGAAGAGAGGGATTGGAGGGGTGGTGGAAGAGGGTGGTGTGCTATTCTGGGCTGTGCAGGCCAACCAGCGGCGGAAGAATCGGTTCTTGCAGTTGGTTGGTGGGGTGGGGGGAGGAGAAGGGGGGGGGGCACAATGTAGGCCATGCGGAACTGGTGGGGACGCAGAGGAAGGCGGTTGGCGGGTGAGAATGGGTTTAAGAGGGGTCAAAAAGGTCACTGACTTAGAGCTCGGGTTTAGGGTTCAGGGTTTGAAGTGGAGGTTTGGAAGGGTGCAAGAGGGTGCAATTATCTGGGCTCTGTTGGGTCGCCAGCTGGCAGCAGACGACAAAATATTGCGCCATTGGTTGGCTTGGTGGGGAGGCAATGTAGGCCATATGGAAGTGAGTGGGGGAAATTGGAAGGAAGATGATGCATTATTTAGGTGTCGGGGAGGAAAACGGGGAGGAGGAAGGGGGTAAGGGTGGGTCGGTGGGATGATGCATGGAGCATGATATGAATGAATGAATGATGCAGCTCAAGCATGTCACTTAAAACCGGAACAACGTGGTGGGAACTGGGCTGGGCAGTGGTCGGTAAGCAAGCATCACCTAATGGACCACTGCACCATCACCTGAACGATGATCTCTGAATGACAATGACGTAGCCAAGGTCCACGATGTAGCACAGTACAATGAAGTGAAGGTGATGGCGATGGCTTTCAGGCGTCTCAAAAGTGACCAGACCAGTGGTCAGTTAGTGCGTCATATGAACTTGGTGGGCGGGCGGGCACTGAACTGAACTGAACTGAACAGTGGTGGTGCGTAAGATTGTCACCTGAACGACGATCTGAATGACGTAGCAGAGGTCCACAAAGGAGCGCAGCACAGTGAAGGTGATGGCTGCCGTCCAGTCCAGAGTGAGACACAGCATGGCCTGGCGGGTCACGGTGGGGGGTGGGAGAGAATGGTCTGTGAGTCGACTCAATGGGTTGGACATTGCTTGAGTTGAGTCAACCCAAAAAGAAGTGAAGGTGATGGCTGCTGTCCAGTCCAGAGTCAGGCACAGCATGGCCTGCTGGGGGGGGGAGACAGGGTGGGGAAGGATGGCTTGAGCTGACTCCACGTACACAGTGAAGGAGGGGATATGCTGCTGTCCAGTCCAGGGTCAGACACAGGGTGGGGATTTGGTAAGGAGTGCTCTAGTTGGGCAGGGCAAAAGGATGTGGTGGATTACTTTCATTGGCGAAGGAAAATAGAGACAGCATGCCACATGCATAGCGGCATAAGGTTTAGGGTTTACGGTTTAGGGTTTCGGGTTTAGGGTCCCTCGCTCCCTCCCTCCCTCCCTCCCTCTCCCCACCTCTCCTCGCCCCCTCTCACCAGCTGGGGCGCCACTCTCTCACTCACTTCCAACTCCCTGACTCGCTTTCTCCCTCTCCCCACCTCTCCTCGCCCCCTCTCACCGGCTGGGGCGCCACTTGGTAGAGCGCCTGGAGGGTGAAGAGGAACCAGGGGTCGATGGTGAAGCCGAGGATGCACGCCACCATGAACACCTTGTTCCACCGCGCCATGAATTTAGAGTGCGGGTTCAGGATGCCCCACGGCTGCCACAGCATGCTGATGGGCTGAAAAAAGTCCTGCACGTCCTGCCAAGCCTTCGTCCACCGTGACTTGCGTTTTTTGCGCTTTGGCGGCTGGGTGGGGAGAGAGCAGGGTGAGGGAGAGAGAGCAGGGGAAGAGGGTTCAGGATGCCCCGTGGCTGCCACAGCATGCTGATGGGCTGAAAGAAGTCCTGCACGTCCTGCCAGGCTTTGGTCCACCGTGACTTGTGCTTCTTGCGTTTCCGCTGGGGTGGGAAGGAAGGTTATGAGGGACAAAGAGGGAGAGAGGGTTTAGGAGGGAGAAAGAGGGTTCAGGATGCCCCACGGCTGCCACAGCATGCTAATGGGCTGAAACAAATCTTGCACGTCCTCCCACCCACGCCTTTGTCCACCGCGCTTGCGCTTCTTGCGCTTCGGCTGAGGGTGAGTGTTTGCAAGAGGGGGGCTAGGATGGTGAGTCAGAGGGAAGGGAAGGATGGAGACGGACAGAGTGGGATGCAGAGCTATGTAGGTAACGACGGTGGCAAAAGAGCACTAGAAGGAATCATGTACCCAGTGTAGCGCCGGCGAGATAAGCCTCTCCTGACACAAGGGTGCAACTGAGTCTCACCTTGGAGGTGTAAGTGAAGCAGGTGATTCCACGGCTTGCTGCGGTTCGAATCCTTCCCTGCACTGCAAGAGGCTACCTTGGAGGTGTAAGTGAAGCAGGTGATTCCACAGAAGCGCACAATCGCTCTGTGCTGCTGCCTGCCCCCCATGTTGCTGCAGCAAGGAGGGAATACGAACCTCACCTGACGCCAAGATTGAACTGAATCTCACCTTGGACGTGTACGTGAAGCAGGTGATTCCACAGAACCGCACAATCGTCCTCTGCCCCTGCTCCGCGTCATAATCATACCCATAATCGTCATCATCATCGTCATCATCATCATCAAAATCATAATCACTATCATCATCATCATCATCTCCTCCTCCTCCTCCTCCCCTTCCCCCTCCCCTCCCCCCTCGCCTCGTAGGCCGCGCCATAGGCTCCGGAAACTCGTCTATAACCTGAGCCATGAGCTTTTTATTCCGCAATGCATGCATTTCCGGCGGGCACGCGTTGCACGTCGGATCCATACACATCATCATAGATTTCTGCACTTTCTTGGTTGCAGTAGTGGGGTTCCCACCAGCGGTAGGGGTCATGGGTCCCCCTTGGCCCCCCACAGTCCCTGGCAGCTGCAATCCCGTGGGTTTTGAGAAGCCCGACGCGAATTGGACGGACATGCGCCGCTGCCGCGCGGCTGCTGCGGCGGCGCTGCCCGGAGTGAGCATCTGGCGCATCCCCCCCGCGCCAGGGATGCCTCCCCCGATGGAGTCGTGGCGCTGCCGGCGGAATGGGTCTTGGGGGATACTATCGGAGCCTGTTATAGGGAGGACGAGGCACAGCAGGTCATGGAATGAAGCCACGAATGCATCTTGCTTTTGCAACGGAGGGAGCGGGTGGGAGACAAAAAGAGAGAGACAACACAGAGGGAGGCGAGAAAAGGAACGGGCTCGGCAGAACGAACGGACCTGAAGCGCTTGATTGATTGGGCCGAGTGAAAATCGCCGAGGCAGTCGTCCTTGCCCGGCGGGCGTTAGGTTTGGGCGCGAGCAAGTCAGGAGCTTCGGATGACAGCGCGCGGGAATGACGAGGCTTGGGAGGAGCAGGAGCCCCGCCTGTGGCTGAGACCGATGCCGGAGCGTCTGGAGTATCGAACTTCACCTTTCTCTCCCCTCCTCCTCCGCCGCCGCTGACGCTGCTAGCGCCGCTGATTCCGCCGCTAATCACGCCGCTCAGCCCGCCGCTAAACCCGATACCTGCTATGTCGCCAGCACCCCCAAATAAGCTTCCGCTTCTCTCCCCTCCTCCCCCTGTGCTTCCCCCTCCGCGGCTGGCTTTCCAGGCGGAGCTTTCGGAGCGGGGAATTTCGCCAGAGCCTCCCAAGAGACCCACGCCGCTTCCCATGGATCCCGATTCTGATTCGGGCGAATCCGAATCTGAGTCATCGCCGTCGTCGTTCCACGAGAGGCCGCCTATCCGAGCCGGGAACTTAGGCTGGGGAAAATCCATCTTGCACCGAGCCTGACGAGACGTCAAGAACCTGACGCAAGCCTAGCGCTAGAGTAGCAGCCTAATGTACGGCTAACAGTATAGTACAAGCTAACAGAGGCTAATACTCTGGCTCGCATAAATACGACGACACCACCATTGGCTGCCTATAGGGGAGTATCCTATCGTCACTCAGGAAATTTGAAATCTCCTATTTACTGTTCGTGAAGTCCAAATGTCATGCTAGCTTGAACATAGGTTCACGCATACTACTATGAAAGTTCAATTCCGCAAATTGCGGTTCCACAAGAAGAGGACTTTGCGGACGCAATGGCTGCAGTTCGCTGGTTGCGGGAATTGTTCATAATCACGAAAATGCATAACCATACTGAATCCAGCGAGCATGTCACGCAAGATCACTGCATTGATTTCAAGCCACGAATGAACGTCATTATACAATTCTGAAGAGCTCTCGAGTTGAGAACTCCATCATAAACGACACTCGTCGAGACACGCAGCTCTCATGCGGCTTCAAAAGACGCTGATCGAAAAGGATACGCTGCGTGAAGCGACGCTGGGCGGAACTAATGATGCGACGTTGTGATGAAGACTGTGCCTGTTCCAGTGTGCCTGCACTGACAGGCAGAATGCCCCAGATTCCTGTTGACAAGCTGTGAATGAATGACTTGATGCGAGGTGAGGTAAAGATGGTGAAGAGCGGCACTGCGCGTTGGCGAGTGGCGGGGAGTGGTGTTGATGAGATAAGGCTGTGATGCTGGTGGTGAGGTCAAAGGTGAAATCGCTGTAATGGTCATGCTGAAATCGGGAGGGTGAGGCAAGGAGACGACGATGATCTCAAGGGCCGAGGCAAAGTGGTAGGTGCGGTGACGCGTGACGGCTTTGGTGATGGCAAGAAAGATGAAACCAATGCTGCAGGCATTCGAAAGAACACTGCTTACTTTTACTGCTATAACTTGCAGCATTTATACCATGTTACAGGGAGTCTTATGAAATGCTGATTAGTTACATAGCTTCACTCCCAAATTAATAACGGCTTAAGGTATCTGTTCATATGCTTCACTTCAGAAATGATTCTGTCTGTGAGGTTCGGATGGATCACAGAATGGTCAGGAGACCATAACTCGGTTGAGCGTGCCATGTCACGGCTTCTGGTCAACTCATCAGTGGCTTTAAAGCGAAGCTCTGGTTCTTGATACACCAACGCTACCTAGAAATCAAACAGACAAAAAAAGAGACAGAGACAGGCAACAAGTAGTAGAAAACATACAGTGGATGCACTATCGGAAGAGCGCAGTCGCAAGCATGAGAATATGACATAAAGGAAAAGGGAGGAGAAACAGCAGAAACATGAATGTGGGCCATGAGGAATTCACTTACCTGATGGCCAGAGAGCCACACATGCTGGCAGAGGTCCCAGTCCGATAGTGCATCTATACCTCCGTCGATTGTACTGAACCCCCCCACCTTCACAAACACGTCTCGCCTCACCGCCATTGGCCCTGTCACCGTCCCCAACACAAAGCTCATCCTCACCCCTGTAACCGGATCTCTAAGTCTGTTCCAAAACTGATCCCCCGCATTCCGCACCTCCCCCAGCTGCAGGCTTCCTGGAACGTTCCTCAGCCCCATCTTCCCCATCGAATGCCCTGCGATTCCCAGCCGGGGCCATGCCGAGAAAGGCGAGACGAGATTCGCCGCCCAGTCGCAGGAGTCGGGCGGCAGATCGCCGCCCGCAAGGAGAATGAGGACGGAGCCGCGGGCGAGGAGGGAGAGGAGGTTGTAGGCTCGGGCGGTGCCCATACGGGATGGCGCGAGGATGTGCGTGAGGAACGAACCTGGAGCGGTTCGGCGGGTGGCTTGGATCCAATCTGCAGGGTTGTAGTACTTCTCAAACCCTGGCACTGTGCTTGGTATGCCTTCGGTGCTGTTATTGCCACCGCCGCTGCTGCTGCTGTTGCTGCTGCTGCTCTTATCCCCACTGCCGCTCCCACCAGCGGTTTTCCCACGGCGGACCATGGCAGAGGCTTGGTGCAGGGGAATGGAGGGACCATCTAGTAACACAAGGGCTTCCGATGTGAGTCCCCCCAGCCGCCCGCCTATGCTGCCCGCCCTGAGCCGCCCATGCGTGCACTCATACAGCTTGGAGACGAGATCCAGGGCGGCTGTGGTGGGCGGCGATGTGTAGATGAGGAAGGAGATGTTCACTGCAGCTGCTGACGTGGCAGGTGATGACGTGGCTGATTCGGGGAGTGAGCTGGCGCTGGATGAACCTGGGGATTCGGCTGAATGGGAGTGGGTATGAGCATCAGCTGTAGCAGCATCTGTAGCAGTTGTGGATTGCTCTGCTACAGATGAGCCAGCTGTAGCCGGCGATTGAGACGCCGACGAAAGTAAGGAGGAGAAGGAGGAGAAGGGGGAGGAGGAGAACGGGGAGGAGGCAGGAGAATCGAAGGCATAGGAGTGAGGGAAGGCGGGAAACGCGGAAGGATGGGTGGGGAAGGAGAGGTCCCAAAGGGGTTGTCGCCACAGAGCAGAGGGTGCTAAGGGCCCTGACAGGGGGCCTGACTCCTTCTTAGGGTCAGTCTCCGTCCCTGCTCCTGCTTCTGTCCCTCCGCTGCTCTTGCTTGTTCTGTTCTTTCCTTCCCCCTCTTCTTCTGATATTCGACTGGCCAGAGTGCAAAGAGACACGTCAGCACCCTCGGGGCTCACCCAGGAGCTGCTGACGTGGCACAGCTCAGGAAGCTTCCCCTTGGCTTCCTTCACGGCAGCAGCAGCGTGGTCGGTGCGCAGTTTAAGTGCCAGGACCGTGCCGTTCTGGGTGTTAGCTAAGCTTTGCATGGTTGAGATGCGTGAGGGGTGGTGGTCGGTGGAGAGGAATATGGAGGGGAAATGGGATGCAGAGAAGAGAAGGTCTGACCACAGTGATGCTTCTGCTGGACACACGGGGAGGGGGATGGCAGAAGGGGATGCGGGGGAGAAAGCAGAGGGGGATCAGTGGGTGTTTAACTGGTGGATGGAGGTCGGTAGAGAGGAATACAGATGGGAAGTGGGACGCGGATAAGAGGAGATCCGCCCACAGTGATACTTCTGCTGGGCATACGAGGGGAAGGGGAGAAGGGTTGAAGGGAGGGGGTGGGTGCGTGGTGGAGCAGGCTGGGCTGCTCCCTCAGGCGCTGCACTTTCTCTCCGCTGCGTTGAGGTGGTTTTTGAGGCGCCTCACAAACCACCTCAATGCGGGTGGGTGGTGGAGCAGGTTGGGCTGCTCTCTCAGGCGCTGCACTTTCTCTCCACTGCGCAGCTGCTTGAGCACTGATAGAGCCGTGTGCTCGCTTTTGAGTCGACTCAAAAGAGGATGCTTGAGCACTGATAGAGCCGTGTGCTCCAGTGAAAAAGGTGCAAGCAGACTCACCAGGCGCATCAAGGGAAGAGATGAAGGTGGTCCTAGCAGCAGGCGAGGAGAGCAGGCTGGGCTGCTCCCCCAATTGCTGGAGTTTCTCTGCGCTGCCTGGCTGCTTGAGCACTGACAGTGCCGTGAGGCGGAGTGAAAATACAACAAGCAGACTCACCTGGTGCATCAAGGGAAGAGAAGAAGGTGTGCTACCAGCAGGAGAGGAGAGCAGGCTGGGCTGCTCCCCCAATTGCTGGAGTTTCTCTGCGCTGCCTGGCTGCTTGAGCACTGATAGAGCCGTGAGGCGGAGTGAAAATACAACAAGCAGACTCACCTGGTGCATCAAAGGAGAGAAAGGCGTTTCTAGCAGCAGGCAAGGAGAGCAGGCTGGGATGCTCCCACAGGCGCTGCACTCTCTCTACACTGCCCGCCTGCTTGAGCACTGATAGAGCCACGAGGAGTGTTAATACAACAAGCAGACTCACCTGGTGCATCAAGGGAGGAGAGGAAGGCGTTTCTAGCAGCAGGCGAGGAGAGAAGGCTGGGTTGCTCCCTTAGTCGCTGCAGCTTCTCCACGCTGCCCGGCTGCTTGAGCACTGACAGAGCCACGAGGAGGAGTGTTAATACAACAAGCAGACTCACCTGGTGCATCAAGGGAGGAGAGGAAGGCGTTTCTAGCAGCAGGCGAGGAGAGCAGGCTGGGTTGCTCCCTTAGTCGCCGCAGCTTCTCCGCGCTGCCTGGCTGCTTGAGCACTGACAGAGCCGTGAGGCGGAGGGCGAGTGTGGTGTGCGCTGCCATGTATGCTTGCATGGCTGATGGGAGGGAGGGGAACGAAGGAATGAAAAGAATGGTCAAGACACCTCCATTTGAACAGAATAAAAGAGAGATAATAAAATGATTTCATAATTAACAAAAAAGCAAGAATGTGCAGCAGCACAGCAGGAAAATGTGTCATGAAGCTACTCGCACCGCTATTTACACTCGCCTTGTGTGTGCGCCTGCTGGGCCTCTAGGGTGTGCTGCAGAGAAGCAGCGCAGCGGGAGTAGCTGAGGCGCAAGTCAGCGTGCACGGCTCGCTCTATCTCCTCGCGCAGAGACAGCACCCGCACCTGGCCGGTCAGGAAAAAGGAGTGAGGGGGAGCGGGGGAAGGGGGGAAACTTGAGATGTCTCAAAAGTGTTTCAACAAGTCAGCCTGCACGGCCCGCTCTATCTCCCCGCCCAGAGAGAGACAGCACCCGCAACTGGCCAGTGTGGGACGAAAGTGGGGGGGGGGGGGTGGGAGGGGGGGGGGGCGGGGGGGGATGGGGTTTTGAACCGTCCCACAATTTACTCGAGCAGAAAAATAAGCCCGCCCACACCACAATCATCGTCTCATGCTCTCATGATCTCCCACCCACCTGTGCCCGCGCCACCCGCTCCTCCTCCCTGGCATCCACGCCCGGCCGCCGCCTCGCTGTCAGTGCAGCAATCTCCCTCAGCTCTGGTGGCGGCGACGGCAGGTGCCTGTCCTCTGCACTGCATATACAAGCAAGCACCCACACCCACACCCATACTCACTGCCTCACCTGCGCTCTCGCCACCAGCTCCTCCTCTTTTGCATCCACATCCGGCCGCCGCCTGGCAGTCAGTGCAGCAATCTCCTTCAGCTCTGGTGGTGGCGATGGCAGGTGCCTGTCGTCCACATAGAAGGTCAAAGCACGCTGGTCCTGCACCAACTTGATCTCCTGGTTACCACATGGTGCCGATGTTTGAAAATAACCATGTGCAAGGCAAGGGAACAGAAGGTGGAGGGAAAAAACAAATCGAGATGGCAATGGTGATGGATGCAAACAGTTCGGGGGAAGGGAAGGGCAAAGTGGGAGGAGGACAAGGGGAGGGGAACAGAAGTTCATCTCCGAAATTCTCCAACGTGTTGAAAACGAAGGTTGTTCCACTCTCGTCAATGCTCACCTTGAGAATGCTCACCTTGAGAATGCTCACCTTGAGAATGCTCACCTTGAGAATGCTCACCTTGAGAATGCTCACCTTGAGGATGCTCACCTTGAGAATGCTTACCTTGAGGATGCTCACCTTGAGGATGCTCACCTTGAGAATGCTCACCTTGAGAATGCTCACCTTGAGAATGCTCACCTTGAGGATGCTCACCTTGAGGATGCTCACCTTGAGAATGCTCACCTTGAGAATGCTCACCTTGAGGATGCTCTTAAGCTGAGCCATGCGTGTCCTTGCTTCCAGCATCACCGTCTGCCGCAGCTTCCCCAGAGCACGCCGCAGCTCCGTGTTTTGCACCAGCAGCTCCTCTGCCTCCGCCTGAACGCCTGCCACGTCACCTCTCCACGTGGCGTTGCTGGCAGCGTCCACGTCAGCAGCCACGTCAGCCGCCACAGCATCAGCAGCCACGTTGGCAGCGTCAGCAGATGCTGACATGGGCATGGAAACACCAGCAGGAGCAGTGGAGGTAGCAGCGGTTGCAGCAGTGGTGGGTATGAAAGCGATTGGGGAGGAGAAAGTGGTGGTTGCTACGGCAGGAGAAGGCGGAGGAGGAGGTAAGACCTGAAGAGCAAAGAGGGGAGGAGAGAGTAATCAGATGATGGAAAGGAAAGGCAAACACTCATCCGTTGCTATTAGTAACCAGTTCGTTAGGCCAACTGGTCCAGTATTTCGAAAATGGTAATGGAAGACAAGTCGGCCTAATGTTTTTAAAATTCATAACATGTGGAAAAGATGCTTTGGAACAGTAAAGAGTGGGAATGAAGGAAAGAGGGGACGAAGGGAGTGCAGTGAGAGGAAAGCAGCACTGCACTCACGGCAGGAACGATGATTGCGGTTAAAATCCCTCCCAGGAGCGAGCCAATGAGAAACGATGCGACCCACCCAACAGTTGTTCGCCTGTGATTGGGGACAGGTGGAGATCGAATGAAAGCGACAGCTGTACGAGAAGGCAGGGCGACGAGGAGCTGAGATGGAATTCGGTACGGTACCATGGGGTTCGTAAGGTTGTCCTAAAACAAACGAACCCACTGAATTGATGAAAGTATGGCTTCCGCAGCCCACCTGTCCACTTCTTACTAATGTTGCACGAACAGGCAGGACGATGGCGGTAAGGGCAGAGGGAATTTCCGGTGGAGCGGTGACATACGTAGAGATCGGAAAGAGCGCCAACGTGGAGCTGAGATGGAATGCGGTACGGTAACATGACGAGGCTCCTAATTTCCTGTTTTAAACGACGATCAACGGTCGCCGGAAGATCCTCGTCGTACCTTGACGGCGCGTCATCAGAGCCGTTGGACCTCACTGAAAGAGCTGCCTTAATAAGGTGACTTTTGGGTTGAGTCAAAAGTCACGTCTGCTGGAAGATCCTCGCCGTACCTTGACGGCGCGTCATCAGAGCCGCTGGACCTCACTGAAAGCGCTGCCTTGGTTGCAACGGCAGTCGCTACATTTGCACCACTAGTTCGCGAAGCACCGCTTGTTGGAGCAGTACGAGTCGCACTGCCCCTCCCGTGACCGAAGCCACCGGGCCGCATCGTCAAGTCCACTAATTATTGCGACGTTTTCGTCGGGAAATCAATGCATTTTGACAGGTTGGAAATATTATTTCTGCTAAGCGGAATGCGAGGAACCGGTTCACTAGGTCTTTCAGGGTTTCTTACGAGGGTGCAAAATCCACCCGCAGCTGGTGGCGAAAACCAGCAGCCGCGAATAGGGAGCATGAAACTGGAACTGGTATTGTGGGGATTGCCGAGCAGATGTGCGAAATTCGGTCAGGTGAGAACGCGATCACAGAAACACTACAAACATAGCACCTAGCTTCCTGAACTTTGAACGTTAAAGCCCAATTTCCACATGACTATTTTCAAGTTCAAGATTCCTGAATATGAATACGCCAAAACCATGTTACCACCCGAAGTGGAGCATATCCGTCGCGATCCAGAGGGGAGGTTTTGCGACGTTGTTCCATGATTGGCCAGCAACAAAACCAGTCATACCGAGTGAAGGGTCGGAGGGCAATGAAGCACTGTTCACTTTCAGTAAGCTTGATAACCATGTTGTACTAAATGGCAGGCATATTGACAGCCTACGTTTACTTAGATTGTATTCCAACGCAGGGACACCATGCGATGTGGGGACACCTTGAGAGTTTTCTCGTGCTGCATGCCTACTTCCCCTAGTTCAACGTGACCTAGACACGATGTTACGAATTTTTCAATTCTGGAATATACACACTAAGATCTGAACGATTTCAGTACACCGCACATCACACGTGTCGGTGAGTTGAGTAGGCGCGGAGGACTCAGTTCGCCCAACATATCTAAACGGTTACTTCCGATGCAAGATTGGGTTTGAGAATCGAACCGACCTTTCAAACTACGGGGCTACGTACGAAATAGACCTTCATTCGAAATGAAATGAAGAAAACAACCAAGTGTCCTAACTTCGGATGGTGTCCCGGCGCTGGAATACAATCTTAGTTCACCCGTTTTTCACGCCCAAACTTTCTCTGTATCACTCCTTTTCTCCGTGGCTATCAGCTATATCAGTACAGCAGCCTATTTGGTGAGGAATACGAACAGCCAATCATAAAACCAATCGGACATGTCCCATTTATACAATATCTAGAGAGCTCACATGCGTATGCGGTGCGTACCCAACCGGATATAGTTACTCGCGCGACGCCAACACGTGCCTGCACGTCACAATTCCATCCACCCCCCCCCCCCCGGCGTCTAACCCGGGTTGCGGATTTGTCAGAATATTATGCTCTAGCCTGTAATGGGGTGCTCTATAGCGAGTACAACCCTTCTAGGGTTTGCTATTTGTATCCCCATTCTTGCTAGTTCACTCCTCTTCTTTCTTCTAAACTTTCACATGCTATCAGAGCAGGTCGATCCCCTTGGATCGATCCTGTGGGTGGGCTCACCACCTCGTTGCTTCCGCTGCAACTCCTACTGCTACTGCTATCACTACTCTCTGTGCCGCACGCCCCGTGGCGTGCGGCATTTTTTTCATCCCGCCGTGCGCCCCGAGGCGCGCGGCGGTTTTCTGCCCACCGTGCGCCCCGAGGCGCGCGGCGGTTCTCTTCCCGCCGTGCGCCCCGAGGCGCGTGGCGGGTTACTGCCCCGTCACGCCGCGCGCCGCTCCCGGGAGGCGCTGCGACGGGCGACGGGGACCTCCGCGTCGCCCCCCGTCACCCATCGTGGCCTGCGCGCGGCCCGTACAGCCTGCGCGCGGCACGTACGGGCCGCGCCAGACCCGTCCGCGGCCCGTACGGGCCGCGCCAGGCATACGCGCGACCCGTACGAGCGGCGCCAGGCCCGCGCGCGGCTCGGGCGACCCTACCTGCGGCCCTGGCCCCGGCCCCGCCGCCCTACCTGCGGCCCCGTCGTCCCGTCGCCCTACCTACGGCCCGGCTCCGTCGCCCTACCTACGGCACCGCCCCCCCCCCCCCCCCCCCCCCCCCCTTTTCCCGTCGCCCGTCGCGGCTCCTTCGGGGGCCGCGACTTGGGGGGTGGCGGGTGTGTAGTCTCCCCTGCTCCTCCTCCTCCTCTGTCTCCCACTGCTACAGCTACCGCTGAGGGGGGTGGGTGTGTGGGATTCGACGGAGTGGTGCTAGGGGGTGGGGTGAGAGTGGAGCTAGGGGTGTAGCAGCGGGTGTGTGTCAGGGGGAGTGGGATCGTTTGGGGAAGCTGTATGGAGGTTGCCGTCGTGTCGCCAGCAGCACCTGTATTCCGGGGACTTCGTCCGGTAGCCCAGTCATAGCCAGCTGTGCCAGCCGCCCGTGTGTCCGTTGCTCGTCTGCCGCTACTTCAGCCGCGGGGCCTGTTACTCCTGTATTCCGGGGACTTCGTCCGGTAGCCGCTGTGCCAGTGTGCCTCCTGTTGCCCGTGTGTCTGCAGCTTCATCCGTCGCCTCCTATCTCCTCTCCTCTCACTCTCTCTCCTCCTCCTCACTTGCCCGTTGTGACTACCTCTAGCTTTGCTCATAATTGTGAACTTTAAACTATTGCTTCTTGAACTTGTGCTCAGAATGTGTGGTGACATTGTGATCCACCCTGAGCTTGTACTGCTTTGCTTGCTCTGCTGATTACACCCCACTTTGGCTATGGGGGTGTGTCAGAATATTATGTTATAGCCTGTAGTGGGGTGCTCTATAACGAGTACAACTCTTCTAGGGTTTGCTATTTGTATCCCCATTCTTGCTAGTTCACTCCTCTTCTTTCTTCTAAACTTTCACAGGATCTAGACGGTCGCACAGTCGAAGGACAAGTATATCCCTTCCGACTGTTGCTCTCCCTTCCGCCCGTCGCCCTTCTTTCCCCCTCGTCGCCCTGCCTTCCGTCCGTCGCCCACCCTTATTCCCGTCGCCCTCCCTTCCCGTCGCCCTCCCTTCCCGTCGCCCTCCCTTCCCGTCGCCTTCCCTTCCCGTCGCCCGCGCTTCTTCCCATCGCCCTCCCTTCCCGTCGCCTTCCCTTCTCGTCGCCCGCGCTTCTTCCCGTCGACCTCCGTGCTTCTCGTCGCCATCCCTTCCGCTCGTCCCCTCGCTTTCCCTCTCTCCATCTCTCCCCGTCGCCCTCGCTTTCCCCGTCGCCCTCGCTTTCCCCGTCGCCCTCGCTTTCCCCGTCGCCCTCGCTTTCCCCGTAGCCCTCGCTTTCCCCGTCGCCCTCGCTTTCCCCGTCGCCCTCGCTTTCCCCGTCGCCCTCGCTTTCCCCGTCGCCCTGCCATCCACTCCCCGTCGCCCTCGCCTTCCCTCCCGTCTCCCTTCCCATCTCGCACACTTGTCACCCTCCCTTTTCTCTTCCTACTCCCTGTTTTCCCTCCCTCCAATAATCGCCTTCCTTCCCCCATCTTATACCTCTTCCCTGCTTCCCCCCATCCCCTTCCCTGCTTCCCCCCATCCCCTTCCCTGCTTCCCCCCATCCCCTTCTCTGCTCCTCCCCATCTCCTTCCCTGCTTCCCCCCATCCCTTTCCCTGCTTCCCCCCATCCCCTTCCCTGCTTCCCCCCATCCCCTTCCCTGCTTCCCCCCATCCCCTTCCCTGCTTCCCCCCATCTCCTTCCCTGCTTCCCCCCATCCCCTTCCCTGCTTCCCCCCATCCCATTCCCTGCTCCCCCCCATAATCTCTGCCCAGGTGTCCTTCCTATCCCTTCCGCTGGCAGCTTTCCCCCTCGCTCGTTGGGAAAATGCCCGTCGCAAGTGCGGGCGTTGCGTGTCGGCCGGCCTTTCTCATTCTGTTCCGCCCACCCTCTCCCATTCCGTTCTGCCGCCATCTCTCATTCTTCCCACCCTCTCTCTCCCTCCTCCCGCCCTCTCTCTCTCCTCGCACCCGCACTTTCTCTCTCCTTCCTCCCGCACTCTCACAATCCTTCCCACCACCCTCAGCCCTCCTTCCCACCACCCTCAGCCATGTTCCCACCTGCCCTGCCCTCCCTATCCCTGCCTTTCCCTCCTTGCCCTGCGCTTCCTTTCCCCATCCCTTCTCAAACCCTTCCCATGCATGTGGACCCATCACTGTCTCCCTGTACACGCTTTCATCATGTGCCCTTGCTGTTGCCATTGGTCCCTTGCACCTCACACCACCTCCCCCATGTTCCTTCACACAATTCTTTCTGCCTTCTCCATTCCCCTATTTTTCAGTGGTGAAGCAAAGGAGCAACAATTGCTAGCTGAGGCGCAGCTAGTCGATGCTTTACACCGTAACACCATCTGTTACGTGTCTGTTGTATGCGCGCATCGTACTACTGTATTACTGTTAGAGATATGCACCCCTAAGGCACACTATGTACGGTACTTTTGTTTCTGCAGTGCAAGATATTCTTCTAAGATGCATAGGCATGTAAGCATGTTCTAATACTTTTGATTGTAGGAAAGGGTCAAGGGAAGCAATACATATACGACTGAACCTTTCTCAAGGCCCTGAAAAAAAAACAGGAGGGGAACTGTAACTCTACGAGCATGGGATGGGATGATGGGTTGAGGTGAGTTGAAGTACCAGAAAAATCTTCAGTGTAGTTACTGCAATAGCCAGGGGGAGGGAGATAATACAAGGGATTGGGAGGGGGAACAAGAAAAAATTCAAAGAGATAGAGATTAGAAGAGTGGAGATAGGGGAGACAGGGAAGAGGGTGAAGAGAAGAGAGAAGCAGGGGGGAAGAGAAAGGGGGAGATAGGACGATGTGAGAGGGAAAGGTGACAGGAAGAGGGGAGGAAAGGGAAAGGAGGAGACAGGAAGAGAGTGAGAGGGAAAGAAGAAAATACCGTAAGAAGAGGGAGGATAGGGAAGAGGGAGGATAGGGAAGAGGGGAGATAGGGAAGAGGGGAGATAGGGAAGAGGGGAGATAGGGAAGAGGGGAGATAGGGAAGAGGGGAGATAGGGAAGAGGGGAGATAGGGAAGAGGGGAGTTAGGGAAGAGCGGGAGAGGGAAAGCGGGAGATAGGAAGTTGTAACAAGGGGAGGAGAGGGGAAAACGAGGGGAACCAGGGAGGGAAACGAGGGGAAACAGAGGGGGAAATCCTGGGAAGCAGAGGGGGAAATGAGGAGAAGCAGGGGGGGGGAATGAGGGGAAGCAGGTAAAAACAGGGAAAGCAGGGAGGAAAATGAGGTGAAGCAGGGAGGGAAATGAGGGGAAGCAGGGGAGTAAATGAGGAGAAGCAGGGTGGAAAATGAGGGGAAGCAGGAGGGATAATGAGGAAAAGCAGAGCTCGAAATGAGGGGAAGGAGGGGGGGGAAATGAGGGGAAGGAGGGGGGGAAAAGAGGGGAAGGAGGGGGGGAAATTAGGGGAAGCAGAGGGGGAAACAATGAGAGCAGACGGGGAAACGAGGGGAAGCAGTGGGGCAAAAGAGGGGAACGAGGAGAAAGGGAAGCAAAGGGAGGAATGAAGGGAAGTAGAGCAGGAAACGAGGGGAAGCAGGAGGGTAAAATTTAGGGAAATCAGGGGGGAAATAGGGGAAGCAGAGGGGAATACGAGAGGAAGCAGGGGAGTAAATGAGGGGAAGCAGAGGGAAGAATGAGGGGAAGCGGGTGGAGAAATGAGGGGAAGAAGGGGAGGGGAAGGAGAGGGGGGAATGAGGGGAAGCAGACGGGGAATGAGGGGAAGCATAGGCAAAAATAAGGGGAAGGTAACACGTGGGAATGAAAGTGCAGGGAAGCGAGGGCACGGGATGGGCAGGTGGGAGAAGGGCAGCGGGAGTGGAGGCGTGAGGAGGGGCAGCGCGACGAGGGTGCTGGCACACTGATGGCAGGGGATGCGCGGCGAGGTGCGCGAGGCGCGGCGAGGCGAGCGGAGGAGCTGCGAGGCGAGCGGAGGCGCGGCGAGGCAATCGGAGGCGGGGCGAGGCTAGCGGAGGCGCGGCGAGGCTAGCGGAGACGCGTCGAGGCGATCGGAGGCGAGGCGCCGCGAGCAGAAGCGCTGGGAGGCGAGCGGAGGCGCGGCGAGGCGAGCGGAGGAGCGGCGAGGCTTGCGGAGGCGCGGCGAGGCTAGCGGAGACGCGGCGAGGCGATCGGAGGCGAGGCGCCGCGAGCAGAGGTGCTGCGAGGCGAGCGGAGGCGCGGCGAGGCGAGCGGAGGAGCGGCGAGGCTTGCGGAGGCGCGGCGAGGCTAGCGGAGACGCGGCGGGGCGAGCGGCGGCGCGACTAACGGAGGCTCCCAGGAACTGATGGTCGGCGTGACGATGGGACAGGAGGCGCGGCGAGGTGAGGCGCGACGACGGGAGGCGAGGCAATGGGAAGCGCGACGAGGGGAAGAACTCGATGAGGAAGGGGAGGATAGACTTGTAGAGCGGCTACGTATTCTACTCTTTGATGCGCTGTCGAGATGCTTTTTCCTCGTATATTGTTTCAAGCCCGACATTAGTGAGGTTGGGCTTACACACTCCATGGTTTCTCCTCATTCGGTTGGGTTGGTTTGTCGCACGCTCCAACTGATGTTGAGTGACGACTACACAACCTCCTCGTTGCTCATTTCGCTTTCGCCACGCCCATCTTCCCGAAGTGAATTTTTTTCATTTCGCCAACACAGTTAAAGCCCTTCAATAGTTTTGGCAAAAACCATGCTGACTGCGGGCTTTAATCACATCTTTATTAATTTGGGCGGTTTGTTCAATACTATTGTAAGGAATTTTCTCGGCATTCCTTACGGAGCCCGACAACATCGCGTACAGCAACGAGCCGTTGTTCGCCCGTTACTGCTAACGGGACTTCGCCAACTTCGCGCGCACTGTTTGCCAAACCTCGCACTGCTGGCCCGGCCGTGTCGGCCTACGCTTCGGGACTAGCCCGAGCCTCGCTGCCAGCATAGCACTAGCTAGCTCGCACGCACCGCGTTACTGTTTGCATATCTCGCATACAAATGTTCGCTCATGCCTTCGCTCACTTTTGTACTCATTTGACACCTTAGTGCAATTCTCGCTACTTCGATTCATTGCATTGCACCCGTACTAACTATAGACAAGATTATGAACTGCATTAAGCTGACCTATAAATCCAAAGCTTGTAATTTGAATCAAAGATCACTTCTGTCAATCCTTTCAACTATGTGACGCCACAACAATGTATATGCCATTGCAACTCTCAAACTTCTATCCAGAGCCTTCTCAACAGTACCCATCAGCTCAGTCATCTGATAGACCTGGATTTTATGAGGTACTGTGCTGCAGTCCATGTTGAGCTTTGTTCCTCTTTCCAGTGTATTCACTGTCTCTTGGTGTTTAATTTCTCTTCCCTTCTCTTGCTGTGGACACTACATTGCAGGTCTATCCGAGAGTTGATGGGTAGTGATGGTGACTGCCTGCCACTTGCTCAATGTTCACATCCTAACAGCACTTTCCACTACCAGATAAAATATACAATAAGAACTGATGCACCACCACACCATCAGTATCATTTTGCATTTGGCACACAAGCCGTTTCCCTTCACATCCCAGGCCTCCTAGCGAAAGGGGATATAATAGAACCTCCTGGATTGTCCTGAAGAGAGTTCAAACTTGCTGCTGCTCTTTTCATGCTGCAGCCTTGCCCTCTTGTGAGACCCCACATCCTGGTTCAGAAGCTCTATGTACTTGTGCAGATTCTGGCATCCCTATTGCAGCCATTTCGTTAGGCGAGTTTGTCAGGAAATCAAAGACTTCTTTGTTCCACGGCTGGTTACCACTCGCAGGACACGGCGCCTTGAATTCCGTCGCAAGCCACGCGTCCACGATCTCTTGCCCTCTGTCTGGAGAAGTCTGAAATTGACCCATGCAGAGTACGTTACAGTTATTGATCGACCTCGCGTTCTTCGCTACGTCGGCGCTGTCGCACAACACGGCGTAAACTGTCGGAATTTTATTTGCGAAGATTGTAACGCCGGTGCCGGTTCCGCACACAAGCAGCCCACGCGTGTCGCACGTAGGGGAATCTGTCGCCGAGCGGTCGGCTGCGACGCTTTTGGCGACGCGTTCGGCCGCCGTGTAGTACTTGTCTTCGCCGTAGTCTTCAACCTCTATGCCTTTCGAGCGAAGGTAAGTAACCATGGCGCTTCTAAGAGTCGCACCGTATGAATCAGATGCTGCGTAGACACGAATCGCAGGCTTGGCGGACTCCATATTTTTTCGCAGTGAGGCGGTGCCACCAAGGGTCAACCAGAGGAGTAAAGAGAAACTGCGGGAATCAGCGAGTTTGAATGTTTTAGTTATATCACGTAGACGTGGAGAAGCTACAAATTCAAGAAAAACGAGCTAGCAAAACAACTCAAATCGGAGGAAATGAGGAAAATGAACTGACTGCTGCTGCTGCTGCTGCTTCTGCTGCAGCTGCTACTGTACAAGAAGTGGAGGATGGATGCAGCTGAGCTCAAATAGGGCGCGTTCTGTTCCATTGATGAAATCAAGTCATCTTCAGAGTTTCGCCCAGGAAGCACGTTTTGCCCCTCAAGTTCGTACTCACATAGCATTTAGCCAAGAACGACCACTGCAAAATGTTTACTCAGCCGCCAGAAGCTGAGGAACATGACACGTGGACAGAATTGTGAATCACATTGGTCAACGACCAGGTCATGCGGCCAGCGCGACAAAAGTGCACGTTTCAAGCCCCCCTGTCCCTAGAATATTGCGGAGCGGGCATGTGGGAAGGGCTTGGATTGGTCAGCTAGTGATGAGACCGCGTTGACCACGTATCCGCACTATATGCCTACTCTTGACTACTCTAAGAGCAAGAGCCATATGACCAAGCACACCAACCCTGTCACAACGATCTGAGTAAATCCAACGCCCCTATAAAGTCAGTCGGAGGTGCAACTTCAAACGTTAAAACTTCGAGCTTATGCGGGTGCACAAACCTGCTCACACAGAATAAACAAAACATTAGTAGATGTCGTAAAACCCATAGATATACTAAACGTCCCCAACAATAACCCATACACTACTTGGTTCCTGCACTCACCCAAGTGTGGCTGCATGAAGCAGGGGGCGATCCAGCCCAGCGATCCATTGTACCACAGACGAGCGGAGGGGTGAAGAGGAGGGCAACGATGCCAGGAGGCGCGATGACACATGCCGCATTGATCCACCGTACGTTTCATCGCCAATCAACGGATGGCCCAGGAGCCGCGCATGTACTCTGATCTGCCAACAGGGAAGGTCCAAGACAGCAGAGGAGAGAACACTTATTGTAACAGGCGAGTGATGGTGACAATTAGGCATGATCATTAGACCCACCCGACCCGACCCGACCCGGGTATCGGGTGCCGGGTCAGGCGTGACCCGCCCCCGGGTCGGGTCGGGTAGGGGCCGGGTCGGGTCGGGTCGGGCCAGGACCCCATATGCAGGGCAAGAGGTTCCTAAGTTGGAAAAAACGCTAGTTTCAAGTTGCGTATTGAGTTTATACGCATCTAGAATTCGTACGCTGCGGATTTTTCTAAAATTCGCCAAATTTGGCTCGGGCTGACCGGAAAAAAAAAGATGAGTTCGCGATCTGGCGAACTCAAATTTGAGTCTCGAAATTCAGATCTGAGTTCGCGCGTTGCTAAAGCAACTTCAGATCTGAATTTCGAGATTGTTGGTGGATCATTCCCTCTTATCCACCGCTCACAACCCACCTTCACCCCATCCAATTTGTTGCCAACTTCTACCAGACTCACTCAATGTCAGGCCGCTTTTCCCTTCAATAATCTTTGCGTTCGATTTCTTCCTCTTCACTTTGACGATGACCTACTACAGCAGCAGTTAGGTAATGGATTACTACAGCAGCTCCGGTCTAGGGTTTAGACATTGACTTCGCGATCTGCTTTAGTGCAACTTGTCGAGGGAATGTCAATGTCGAGGGAACAAACAAACCCTAGAAATTGACTTCGCCATCTGCTTTAGTGCAACTTGTCGAGGGAGGAAAAGTCGGGTTGGGCCAAATACTCGACCCGACTTAGGGCGCGGTACCCGAAACCGGGTCGGGTACGACTTCGGGTCTAAATCTGACCCGACCCGACCCGACCCGGTTTCGGGTGTCGGGTCGACCCGACCCGACCAAGTAAACCCGACCCGACCCGGTCGGGTCAGCGCTTCAAAATGCCTGACCCGACCCGGGTCAAAACCCGGGTCGGGTCGATGATCATGCCTAGTGACAATTGGCAGAACAGACTTCTATAGACATTACAAACTGAAACTTCCCACTCTCCATACGAGCCTTATGGTCTTAGAGATGCAACTCAGACTCCTAAAGAAGCCCTAACACAACTTGGCTAACAGTTTCCCGTAACAAACAAACAGCCTCCCACTCACTGACCCCCCCAACCCACCCACCTGGCGCCTCACACCCACCTGGTGTGTCCTCCCGGTTTCCAGCCTCCACTCCACCAGCGCAGCTGCTCCTCCTGCCAGTGACTCCAGCACCCGGTACCTGGTCATCAGTCACGCACATTACATGCACGACAGGCAGAACAAGGTGACTACCGTACATGCACTGAGATCGGCTTAATGGTATCAACAAATCGCCTCCAGCCTCCATTCCACCAGCGCAGCTGCTCATCCTGCCAGTGACTCCAGCACCCGGTACCTGGTCATCAGTCACGGGAAGAACAGGAATGACAGGCACTACAGACGTTGATTTTACAGTGATTTTACAGTTAACTCAAATATCACCTCCTGCCCCCACAGCTGCTTCCTCCTGCAACCGACCCAGCACCCAGTACCTGGCCATCACATGCATGAGTCATGACATGCATGAGTCATGACAGGCAGGAGCCATGACAGGCAGGAGTTATGACAGGCAGGAGCCGTGACAGGCATAAATCGCGAGAGGAAGGACTGCCATGCGCTCTACTATCAAAATGTCCTCGCAGACCAGCTCCAGTTTCACCTGCTAATTGATCGTCTGCTCCGGTGGGAGCCTGTGAGACGCAGCACTGCCACAATTGAGCCTTTCAGAAAGTAAAATCAGAGCCGTTCTACTCCCCCCACTTGCTGGCGGCTCGTCTGCTCCGGTGAGAGTCTGTGAGAGGCAGCACCTGTGAGAGGCAGCACCTGTGAGAGGCAGCAACTGTGAGAGGCAGCAACTGTGAGAGGCAGCAACTGTGAGAGGCAGAACTGCCATAATTGAGATCATTGGAGTCATCTCAGAGCCATTTCATTCCCACCTGCTCGCAGCTGGAGTGGGAACAAATAAGAGATCTCACCTGCTGGCGGCTCGTCTGCTGCGGTGAGAGCCTGTGAGAGGCAGCACGGCCATGCGCTTGCGGTCCTTGGGGTCTCGACCAATGGGTGCATCCACACGATCGGAGAGGGGAGACGGCGTGCCTGCATGCATAGGTGGGAGGAGGGGGTGAGGGGGGGGGGGGGGAAGGGGGGAGGGGAGGGGGGGGGGGGGGGGGTGTGGTGGTTTGGGTGGACCAAAAAAAAAAACGGCCCTTGGGGTCTTGACCAATGGCCGCATCCACACGATCGGAGAGGGGAGACGGCGTGCCTGCATGCATAGGTGGGAGGGGGGGGGAAGGGGGGGAAGAGGGGCGTTGTTGGTTTGGGTGGAATCGAAAAGCGGTCCTTGGGGTCTCGACCAATAGGGGCATCCACGCGGTCGGCGAGAGGAGAGGGTGTGCCTGCATGCATGGTTGGGAAGGGGATATGTTAGTCCCTCTAGACAAATTATTTTGTCTTTTGTCTTTTGGGTGTCAAAATATACGGCGATCCTTCATACATGCGTTTACAAGAAAGAACAGAGGTTATTTGTTTCCACTGTGCGCTTTGAAGCGCACTCAGATGCATTCTCGGTTGACTCGAATACACACGAGTAGCCTGTGTGATGCACTGAGTTTCTTACCAATGACAAGAGAGAGGTAGCTTCTGTGCACGGTGCGAGCCTTGAACTGCGCGCTTAAGTGTGCCTGACTGAACGGGTCCTGGCATGGAGAGTCGGGAGGGGCGAGGAGGTGAAAAGAAGCAGGAAATGACGAGAGGTCGAGGGTGACGAACAGTTGTTTGTTCGTGAAGAGAGGTAGCTTCTGTGCACGGTGCGAGCCTTGAACTGCGCACTCAGATGAGCCTGGCTGAACGGGTCCTGGCGGTTGGAGTCACATGGGAGGAGAAAATAGGTGCGTGGTGCGGAGAAGTGAAAAGTGAGGAGAGGTAGCTCCTGTGCACGGTGCGTGCCTTGAACTGCGCACTCAGGTGAGCCTGGCTGAACGGGTCCTGGCGCTGGCGGATGGGGATTGATGGGTGGTGAGATGAGGAGGAGGCGAGGAGGTGAGGGATGGGGAAGAATGCGCGTAAGAGTGATGCCATGGTGCTGCACCCAGCCTCCCTCCGCTCGCCTCACCTTGGCCATCACAAGCAGCCTGCTCGTTCCCTTGACCAGCCGATGCACTATTCCAGCCCACAGCCCAGCCCGGGCCACTATCTCACTCTCACAGCCCAGGCCAGGCCAGGCTGTCTCCCCTCTCCCTCGCCTCACCTTGGCCACCACAAGCAGCCCGCTCATTCCCTCTGTCCAGCCGATGCACTATCCCAGCCCACAGCCCAGCATAAGTCCTTCCCTCCCCCTCCCCCACCTCGCCTCCCATCGCCTGTCATCTCACAACCCAGGCCAAGCCATCTCCCCCTTTCCCTCATCTCACCTTGGCTACCACAAGCAGCCCGCTCGTTCCCTTGTCCAACCGATGCACTATCCCAGGCCGCACATCCGCCCCCCTTGTAAGGCTTGCTTCGACTCCCACCTCTGCTCCCTGCCTCTCCTTCACCTCCTCTCCCTCCTCCTCTTCTTCCTCTTCCTCCACGTCCTCATCCTCCTCCTCATCCTCTTCCTCATTCCAATCTGCTGTTACAGAAGGCTGAGAGTCCCTTACCCTCTCCCCCACTCCTATCATAAAATGTGACTGGGTCGTAGAGCATGCGGAGGAGGAGGAGGAGGAGGAGGAGGAGGAGGAGGAGGAGGAGGAGGAGGAGGAGGAGGAGGAGGAGGAGGAGGAGGAGGAGGAGGAGGAGGAGGAGGAGAGCTGGTAATGGTGGAGCAGTGCGTTCACGAGGGTGCCTTGCCAGTTGCCTGCAGCGGGATGCACCACCTGCTCTGGAGGAGAGGGGCGCATGAGAGGCACGAAAAGGGACAATGTGGGGGCAGTCCGAGGTTTTTGAGGCGCCTCATAAGTCGAATGCACCACCAGATGTGGAGCAGCGCGTTCACGAGGGTGCCTTGCCAGTTGCCTGCAGCGGGATGCACCACCTGCTCTGGAGGAGAGGGGTGCCAAGGGACAATGTGGGGGCGGTCAGTCAGGGTAGATAGAAGACAGCGAGGAAATTATTACCGCCCCTGAAGAATCACAGGTGCGTTCACGAGAGTGCCTTGCGAATTGCCTGCAGCGGGATGCACCACATGCTCTGGAGGGGAGGGTGGCGCACGAGAGGAGGATAGGAGAGGGGTGCATGAGATCAGAGGGGACAATTCGGGACAATCAGACAGGTAGCAGAAAGCGAGGTGCCACGAGGGTGAATAGGGTTATTGGATAACCAATACACATCCTAGAACAGGAAAGGTAAAGAAAGGAAAACAAAAACAAAAGCATTTGGCAATGAGATGCCATGACACATTCAGCACAATGGATGGAGAGAAATTCTTCCTTGCGTCACAGTGCAACGCAACCAATAGGGGAAAAGAACCCACAAAAAGAAAGGGAAAAAAAAAAAAAAAAAAGGATACCGAGACACTTACCATGTGCGGAGCCTTGTTGATCACTACCACGTGGTCATCCTCATACACCACGTGCAGGGCAATGGCGGATGGCTCCAACGCGTGCTGTGACTGGGGCGTAGCGAACGGAAGGAAGAGAGACCACGTACCATGTGCGGAGCCTTGTTGATCACGACCACGTGGTCATCCTCATGCACCACGTGCAGGGCAATGGCTGATGGCTCCAATGCGTGCTGCGACTGTGGTGGGGCGAGACTCCCCTGCACCCTGTCGCCCTCCCTCACTGCATACGACGGCTGGACGAGGAGACGAATGAGGGGGGAGGAATGGGGAGGGGACGAATGGGGATGCGGCGACAGAGAAGAGATGGGAGATGGAAGGGTGAGAGGAGAAAGCGAGACTGCCATTGCACCCTGCTACACCGTCCCTGCTTCTCACCTTCTTCTGGACACTGCCATTCACCAGCACTTTCCCTTGCCGAATGGCGTCCTGCCACCTGGCACGGCTGATCCGCTCCCCCTGTGCTGCCAGAAACGCATCTAGCCGGGATTTGGCTTGATTCCGAGGTACCACGCCGTCTACAGCCTCCTCCGCTATTGTCACATTCTGAGGTTCCGTTCGGGAAAGGTTTGATGCAGCGTCTACACATTCCCCCGTTATTGCCACATTCCGAGGCAGCGTCACCGGGTCCAAGGCTTCGCCCGTTATTGTCACGTCGTTGGTAGATTCTGTTGTGCATTGCGTGCTACCGTGCGACGCCGCATTTCTTACACCAAGCGACCGAGCGGAGACGCAGCTTCCGATGCAACGTGTTGGATTCTGACTGGCGAACCGGCTCGTGATGACGTGTCTGCTTAGAGGCGTGTGCGGAACGCTGAAGACGTTTCCACTGTTCGTGTCTGAACGCTTGCTAGCGCCCGGAGAAATAATTAGACGAGAAACTGAGTGAATTATACCAGACATGCCTAGGGAATGCTTCGAGCTCGTAGCAACATAGAACGATTTCATGGAGATTGCGGCTCGAACTAAACGGTTACTGATGTTTGAGCCTGTGTACGAAATCGAAATTCCGAGGCCTCTGGGATGAATGGCCAGAATCGCACTAAGTGAAGCGGAGCGCCAATCAGGGGGCAACGAATATGGACTGAGATGCGGAAACGCGGTCATTAATGTGAGAATGCAATTGACGAACGGCTTCCGTGTATGCCGGAAAAACGAACAACAATAACAGGCAAGCATACGGTGGTGATTGGGAGTCACGAAGGAAGTATGATAATGAGACGATAAAGTGAACTGGTTGCCTGTCTACTGGGCCTGACGGGAAAAGTGTTGCTTGTGACCAATTTCTTTGCAGGATAATTATTGTTTAGTATTACATTCCACTGTTACGCCTTCTATACTGAATCGAGTAGCTCTGTATCCTGCGAAACTAGAAAAGCTGCCTGCGTGGAGACTCCACGCGGAGCAGCGACAACGTGCCACGTGAAAGTACTTCAGGCCATCTTTCTCCAAGCAAAGCAGCACTACTCAAAAGAAGGTTCGGTTCGGTTATGCGTGTCTCGATTACGGTTTAGAAGCTTTGCATCCGTTCTCACCGAGCCCAAAAAAGCCGAACCGAACACTACCCTTGAGAATCGAGATTGTTCTCGACAACTTCAAGGCAGTTTACTCCTACTTTCTCTTGCTGTGTGTTTCTCATAAATCCCTCACTTCCAGTCGGATCACCGTGGTTCTGTCCATTACAGGGTCAAACGCACGCCACGCTTTCCCTTCACTGACAAGATTGCTTGCCGGTGACATACGTTTCGGCTTTGTTGTCAAGGTGCAATTTGGCCAGATACCTCTTTGCTGGTCTACGAAGTCTGAGGTGGTCCGTTGTGGTTAGCGACCTTTCAGGCGCCTCAAAAGGTTAGCGACCTCTCTGATAGTGCCAGTTGCAATGGAGGTCCTTGCAGTCCCGCAAGTCCACGCACACCTTAGTACGCTACCACTTAGAACCTCTCTCCGACCATCAGCAGAAGCGAGAGACGTCGCCATTAGCAGCAGCAGCAGCCTTGGACGAACTCCGCTTCGATTGATGGCAACTAGAAATCCGCGGATCTCTTATCAAACTGGCCGTCAATCCCGCCGATCCCACCTTTACCGTCCAGACCTCCGCCGTGTCGCTGTCCACGTCAGCGCTAGCCAATCCGACGGCGATCACACGGGCAGTGAGAGCCATAACTCTGCAGCTGGTGTGGCGGAGGTACCAGCGCGCCACGCTACCAAAGACGAGATGGTCAAATTCATCGCAGGCAATGCGGAGGTGAGTTTTGAGTCGACTTAGAACTCGAATCATGACTGCTAGTGTCGCGGAGGTACCAGCACGTTACGCTACTAAAGACGAGCTTGTCAAATTCATCTCAGGCAATGCGGAGGTACGGCGGTTGAATAAGGACTCGGAAATTAAAATGAATCAATAAAACGTCTCAACTGATAGCAACACTTTTGCAGGCGAAAGAAAACCAATGTTGGGCCTCGAACTCTGTCCTATCAGGCGTTTCTTATTAACCTGTTATTCTGTGACCCCATCCACGCATGATTCGTCAACCGCATCGACCCTCTGGTCCGCATTGGCAGGTGTCTGTGATGGTGGTGGCGGCTACTGATCTGGTCAAAGAGGCTCAGGCGCGGCACGGCATGGCCCCCACGGTGAGACGGACATCACTTCTTTGCTTCCTGCAGCCGCAGCTGTGATCTTTAGTCAGAGTCAAGGCACCAGCCCAGTCACAGTCATTCCTTTCATCCTTTCCGTGAGTTCGCCAGGTGGGAACACTTACCAGGGAAGCACTGGCAATATCTGCCTGCTACGTCAAGGAGAGAGAGCTATATTTTCCTGCCACTCATATTCTTTCCTTCATGTCCGCCCCTATCACAGGCTGTGGCAGCACTGGGGCGGCTGTTGATGGGGACGCTGCTACTGGGAGCCATGAAGGGACCAGACGAATCCGTGCAAGTCACAGTGAACGGCCGGGGGCCCATTGGGCAGATCACAGCTGTTTCAGCACTGCACGGGGAGGTGAAAGGGTTTGCCGTTAATCCGCTGGCCGACCCGCCTCTCAACTCCAAGGGCAAGGTAGGCAACTCAAATACATGAAATGCGATGAACAAGTGCATTTGTCTGTTTGGGACTTCTTCTGATTTCTCGGTCCCCGTTTCGTGCTTCAATGCGTGTCCCTGTTTCTCTGCTTTCCTCTTTCCATGGCCAGATGGACGTGGGGGGTGCAGTGGGCAAGGGAGTGCTTAGCGTCATTCGAACCCATCCCTCCTGGCAGTCGCCTTACACGTGAGCCTTATTAGTGAATAAAGAACATGGTGTTGGTTCATCAATTTCACCTTGATATGATGAGCCTTAGGACGGGATGGGTATTGGTTTTATGGTATGCGGCTCAATATGAAGGTATGAACCTTGATATGAAGGTATAAGCCCTGCTTGACTTGGTACAGCTCTGGCCACACGCTTTTACCATTCATCCCTTTCCATCTCTCCACATTCCTCCACAAGCAGCAGCACTCTGTTATTGGAAACCGCAAAAGGATTAGTAGGTTGTATTTTATAACATTAGCAGCCGCTATTCACCTGCTGCCACTTTATGCTTTCTGGATTTTTTTAACTATGAGCACTGCCCCCTGTTGTCAGGGCAGACTATTTGGCGGAGAGTTAGCGATCCAACCCAGCTCTTCTTCCCCAATCGCTGTTCCCATCCATCTTTTCACGCAATGCCACATTCAGTGGCACTGTGCCTCTGGTGTCAGGGGAGATCGCAGAGGATTTGGCAAACTACCTGGCGGAGAGTGAGCAGATCAACTCAGCTATGGGGCTGGGTGTGGCGGTGGGCAAGGATGGCATTGTCAGGGCGGCAGGAGGGTTCCTTGTTCAGGTGAGTGGCTGGCTCGACGCCTAACGAGTTGTTTGTCACCTGTGGCTTTGTGCGCCAACTCATCAAGACATTGTGAGGGCGGCAGGCGGGTCCTTGTTCAAGCACTGCTGCCCACGTATTTTCTCTTCAGTGCCATGAATGAAGTGCTTTCTGAGCACCTTCTTCCTTTTCAATCATCCTCTCTTTCCTCAGTATTAGATACACTTATTCTCCTGTTCCATGAACTCTGCATGGCGTCTCATCCTTCTGGCTTGGTCGTTGTCTTACACCTTGGCACCTCTCTCCAGGTCCTTCCCTTCTGCTCGGACGAGACGCTAGACAAGCTAGAGGCCAACGTCCAATCACTGGGCGCCATGTCAGATGCGGTGCAGCGCATGGATGCAGGGACCATTGCTCACTATCTCTTGCAGGGGTTGGATCCCGAACCTGTCATAGATCCGGTATGTCCGGACCTTGTGCTTGGCATGGTGTGGTTTGATATTGCCTTATAATTTGTCTGCAATGCTGGTTGGGCATGTCACTCGTATACTGGATGCAGTGCAGCATGTGATGGTCAGCCTGTTGTTATCACTGGCAATCGTTGAGAAACGCACTCAGTCTATTCTCCTCTCCTCCCGTCCCCTCTCATACAGATTGTGCCTACGTTTGGCCCATGTGGTCTGGAAGACTTGAAGCCTCGCATGCTTAGAGCTGTGGAGTCACTAGGAGCCGAGGACGTGAAGAAACTTATTGAGGAAAGAGGTGAGTGGATGAAATAATCTGGTGTGTCATGTTAATCTCAAGCTCCTCGTTATTGGAGTAATGATTGGCAATCAAGTTTGGGATTGCTTTGGTCAATCCATCAGATTTGAAGTCCCTTATTTTGTTTTTTCGTGGTGGTGCAGGGTCGGTGGAGGTTCGGTGCGAGTTTTGTGCAGAGGTGGTGGATTTTACAGAGGAAGATTTGCACGATCTTCTAGTGAAAGCAGGAAAGGAATGAAATCAAGGAGAATCTTAGGATATGGTTCATGTACTTCTGGTTAGATGTAAGAGTGGTGCTGATCTTATCAATAGTGAATCATTTCAGCTTCGGACTTTCTTCCTGGTGAGGTGGCGTTGGGGTCCCCAAGGCCCATGTCAGCCGAACGGTTCCGAACCTGTCTATCGCTGGCCGTTGGGCATTTTGAGGGCCAGCCACGGAGCTCGGTAGAGCGTGAGAGCTTGACTTGGCGGGGCGCAGGCGGGAAACTCAACACATGCTCCAATCGCTGCGCCAAATCACGCGGAGATCCCTGTATTTCCACATCGAGCCTCCCTCCAAACCAGAAATCTAGCTTCGAGTTGCTGGTTTGGGAGACACAGAAGCATTCTCACCTCACCAACCAACCCTTCAACCAACAGAAATAATTGTGGGAGGCAAAGTGAGAGGTAAACTGCAGGCGAGGAAACCCTGATTTACCCTCTCTGATCATAGGTTGTCTGTCAGTTGTTGAGAAGCAGGCCAACACAGATTCACCGAATTCAGGCTGACGGCTTTCTGAGCTCTCTAGCTGGTGAACTACTTGGTGATAGCTCGGATTCCATTGGGTTGACTAGTTTCGTAACTCGTTCCCTGTTAGTCCTCGTGTTGGACATTTGTTACGATTTTGGAATCAGCAACAATGGCGAACCAAGAGGAGGTTTGGGAGAGGGATCCCGTTTTCAAAAAACTACGAGCAAAAGCCGAGAACAAGGTTAGAACGAGTCTTACTGTTTCTGCTATGAGTCTGATCTTAGGTTATGATGTGTAGGTCCTTGTTACTTGGATTGTATCTGTTTGGTGTGATCGCAGTGGTTCATGCTATGCTGTGTATTAAGCATTGTTGTGCGAATCTGTTCGAATCTGCTTCGTTGTCTCTCGACTTTTTCTCTCAGATGTGCTTTGACTGCAATGCGAAGAACCCTACATGGGCATCGGTCACTTACGGAGTCTTCATATGCCTCGACTGTTCAGCGATGCATCGTAGCCTTGGCGTGCACGTCAGCTTTGTCAGGTCCGTTTCCACGAATCTGTCTGAATTCATACTCGGCTGTTGGAACTACTTATTCTTACCCAGATATTATTTCCCAGGATGTGTATCCTGGCATTCACAAACTTAGGAAAGATTCCCAGAATGTGCCAGACTGCGGGACCCGCTGTGTTGCTTTGAAGCCTACCGCGCAGCAACCGGTGTTTTCGACGATCATCAAAGCCTTGGTGATGTCAATCTTTGTCGCTTATCAGGTCGACAACTCTTGACGGTTGGAGCGTAGAGCAATTGAAGATCATGGCCTTTGGAGGAAACGGCCGAGCGCGTGCGTTCTTCAAGCAGCACGGCTGGACGGACGGAGGCAAGATCGAACAAAAATACACCTCAAGAGCCGCCGAACTCTACCGGCAGCTTCTCGCGAAGGAAGTTGCGAAGAGCTTTGCTGGCGCACAGACATCCCTCCCTTCGCCAACATCGACTGGCCAAACAGCTGCGAATGGCGGTGCTGCAACGGCAGCGCCGGCTGCTGAGGAGGCCCCTGCTCCTGCCGCTGCTGCTCCTGCTCCCGCTGCTGCAGCGTCGCGAGTCTCTCCGGTTACAAGGAAGACGACGAGCGTAACTGCGAAAAAAACGACCACTAAGTCGTCCGGCCTCGGCGTTAAGAAGCTCACGACGAAGGTCAGTATTCGTGGGTTAGCGCGGATGGGTCGGTGTGTAGATGTATACTTGGCTGTGGAATGTCACGAGCCATGGCGGTAGAAAACAAGGTAGAATGCACTGGCAGAACATAGGCATGATCGAAAGTGCAATACTAACGCGTCTGTGTTTGGAATGCGAATTTCAGTAAGAATAAAATTTTAAAGAGCGAATTACCTAGTGCCACGGCCAACTTATGGCGTTCCTTGCGCCCATCCACACACCCATTGCCTCACTCTTTCTCAATAATTCCTCCCTCCCATCGTCCCCGCATCTCCAGCCGAACGACAGCCTGTACGAGCAGAAGCCAGTGGAGGCACCGGTGAAGGTGGGCGTGGTGGAGCACAAGGCGTCGCGCTTCACGTACAACGAGGCGTCCTCCTCCTCGCAGCCAGGCACCGGGTCCGGCAGAGGCGGCCACGTAGCGGCGCCCGCGGCAGCTGGAGACTTTTTCAACGACTTTTCGGGAGGGATCAGGGCTGTGCCCAGTAACCGGCCCAAGCCCCCACCTCAGGTACAGGTCCCTGCCTCCGTTTTGGGTACACTCTGCTGCTTTGTTTGGCTCAGTCATCTGCTGTTGGCATGTGATGTTTCTGGGGTGCGATGCGTTCGAGCTGCCGGTGCTGCTTGCAATGGGTGACTGCCTGTTTGGCCTGGTGACGAATCGTCTAGTCTGTTTTACCCCAGGTATTCGCCCTCATCAGGACGCGCTCGTTTTCGTTTTTGGCGGCCTTGATCGCTTGGACCAATTCACATGTTTCCAATCCTCTCTTTGTGGGTTGCAGCCAATTGAGGAGTCAGACGAGGCTCGCAGGAAGTTCGCAGGGGCGAAGGCGATCTCGTCGCAGCAGTTCTTTGACCGGGATAACAAGGAGCTGCAGGCGCAGAACCAAGAGCGGCTGCAGAAATTCCAGGTGAGCTGCAGGAACATGGCTTAAAACCGAGGTCCCCAGGTTTCAAAGGTAGAAAGGCTGGTTGGACCTGGTGACCCAACCAAAGGTAGGAAGGTTGGTTGGACCTGGTGAGTCAACCAAAGGTAGGAAGGATGAGGCAATTGAGGGGAATTTGATACTCCGGTTCTATTGACATTTCAGGAAGTGAAGAAAGACATAAGTGTAAGAAGCAGGAGCCGCATCAGGTTTTCCACTGGGACAAGAAACTGCTGCAGGCATGAAACCGAGTGCGGCTGCGTAATTTTGAAGTGGGCTGCAGAAACATAGCTTAAAGACACTTCTAGGACGTGGAGAACGGGAGGACGCAGCAGCACTTTGACCCGGGCAGCAAGGATTTGCAGACAGAGCATTAAGTTTGGCTGCATTAGTGCGAGTTGGGCTGCAACAAACGTGAGCTGAGGTGTCTAAATCTAGTTCACAGAACTAAGCTGGGCTTCATTTGATGTTTCAGAGAATGGGGTTGGATGAGGCAGCAAGTGCGGAGAGGTGTGTTGTTGTGGCCACGGCAAAATGGTACTTGGTCAAATGAGAGGGAAGGCGGCATCTGGTCTTGGACAAGATGCTCTGGGAAACGAGTGGGAAACGTAGGGCAGCTGTTTCATCCAGCTCCCCCCCCCCCAGTCCCCGCCCTCCGACGCTCATCTCCTCCCCATGCCATCCCTTCTCCCCCATGCCTGTGCCGCCAGAACTCGTCGGCTATTTCGAGTGCAGCCTTCTTTGATCGGGACGAGGGTGGCAACCAGGGTGGTGGGGACGGCTCTCTGGACAGCGTTGCTGCAGACCTACTGGGAGGGCTCTCCGTTGGGGTGGGTGTTGCTTGCGTGTCTACTGTTGCGTGATATCCATTTTCCAGTATGTCTATCATTTTTTAGAATGTGTGTGGACATCACTTCATCCCCAACATTGACTCCCCACATTGTCTGGTAAAACAACCATGCCACTTGCTTCTTCGAGAGCAGGTTGTCGCCGGGCAGGCTCTGTCATTATGCGCATCACGCAGCTTGCTTTGAGCCGCCTCTGTGAACCACGAGCTGTTTCAGAGCCAAGTGCCCACGAGCCGCCTCTGTGCCACCCACGACTGCCACTGTGCCACCCACAGCAACCCCCTTGCATTCCGCCCCCCTTGCTTCCCATGTTGCATTGCAGGCTGTGGCAGAGCAGACAGGGCAGGCACTGTCATCATTTGCCTCCAGCATCCTTGCTGACTTGCAGGACCGAATTCGATAGGCAGGGGGGTGGACGGGGGTGAGGAGGAGAAGGGGGACACAGGGACTTTTGAGGTGTGTCGGACGGGCAGGCGCTGTTATAGATTTCCCTCCAGGCTCCACTGTCCTTGCTAACTTGCAGTACCGGATTTGATCGGCGGGAGGGGGTGGGGGAGAATTAGGGGAGGATGTGTGGGGAGGAATGCATTGGACTCATAGTACCACATGCCCTGCTGATTTCACATGCGTCCTGGTAACTGAGGTATCACATGAAGTGTGCATGCGCGCTTATGTAGGTGTTATGTGCTGGCATGGTGGCACAGTGCGCCATACTTGTCTCTCCTTCTCATGGACCAACACTAAAACCTCTCGGTACACAGCTGTGACTAGCCCGTATGCAGAGAAAAAGCAGGGACGAGCAAGAGGAATTAGATAGGCCAGAATGGTAGATTGTGGAATGGGGCTTCAGTGGTAACCACATGTTTGTTATATTTGGGTAGCTGTGAACCAGTGTTTGTGATTTACTAACAAGTTTATGCAAGCACATCTGCAGCTAAGGGTATGTGTGCTGATTCTTGCTGATGCTCCTACCAGGTCTTAACAGTACGGGGTTCGACAGATGCCCTTCAAGACACCTGATATGGCCTCTCTAGTCGCACTAAGTCAATAAACAGGTTGCCATTTAGCAAAAACAAGCCACAACCCGTTGCTTGATCGAGCAGGTGGCGGAGAATCACATGGCTCCAGATGGAAGGCAAGTGGCATGGTTCCTGTACGCGGTGATTGAGTGGACAGGTGAATACAAAAAGGGGAGAAGTGGGAGATAAGAGGATAACGAACATTAGGGATGGGGAACATGTTGATCGAGGGGAAGCTAAGAGGAGGATTGTGTTCAATTTGAAAAGAGGTACTAATTGTTGAAGGTAACTGGACTTACCATGGGCTACAGCCGGCTCTAAGACCAGCCGAGCAGGAGTCTAGAAGATAAATCAAGCAAAAGAAAAGCAGCTGCAAAGTCTATTCGTTGTGAAACTAATTCAACAATGCAGGTTAATGACTGGACTCACAGTGGGGTACGAAGGGAGGCCGATTGGGTCAGGGCAGATCTGATGACTTTGGAGCGGCGGCAGCAGCGGCAGCAGTGGCATTGGCAGCAGCAGCTGTGGCAATAGCTGCAGCTGCAGCAGCCATTGTAGCAGCATCAAGCATCGCCGGCTCAGCAGCAGGGGCAGCAGTTGGAGGGGAAGCAGCAGCTAGGGTGGCAGGAGCAGTAGTTGCGGCAGCAGCGGTGGCAGTGGCGGCAGCAGCAGCAGCCGCCACAGCAGCAGCATCAGCCAATGTCACTTCAGGGCTGACAGGCTTGGCAGCAGGAGCAGCAGATGGTGTGGCAACAGCAGGAGAGTATACCGAGGGAGCAGGAGCCGCAGTAGCACCACTTGTTGCAGCAGCAGTGGCAGCAGCAGCGGTGGCAGTGGCGGCGGCAGCAGCAGCCAGAGTAGCAGCATCAGTTGCAGGGTCAGCAGCAGGAGCAGCCGAGGCAGTGGGAGCAGCAGGAGCAGCAGCAGGGGGAGCAGCAGGGGGAGCAGCGGCGGCAGAGACAGCAGCAGCAGTGGTGGCAGCAGCAGCTGCTGCAGCGGCAGCAGAAGAGACAGGTGCTGCTGGGGATGGTGAGGATGGGGGCTTGAGATCCTCATACTGGGTGTATGGGGAAAGTGGTGACTGAGGGATGGGAAGAGTCATTGCGTCTGAGACAGCAGCGGCCACTGCAGCAGTGGCAGCAGCAGCAGCGGTTGTAGCACCAGCCGCAGCAACTGTAGCTGCCGCCCCTGCTGCTGCTGCAGCCGGGTCGACAACCAGAGCAGGCGCCGAAGCCACAGGTGAAGGCATGACGGCAGGCTCGGCAACAGGCACTGCAGCAGACTCGGCAGTCTCGGCAACAGGCTCGGCAGCAGGCTCAGCAACAGGGATTGTAGCATCTTCAGCTGCTACGGCAGCAGGAGGTGAGGGGGTTGGGGAGGTTGGGGGCTTGAGGTCCGGGTACTGTTGGAAAGAGGGGAGCACGCAGAAGGAAGGGAAGTCGTTGAGTGAGAGTGAGGAGTAGAGGAGAGCAGAAGGTAGGTAAGACGATCATAAAGAGGATAAGGGTGGAGGAAAGTGGATCATAAGACGATAATTAAATTGATGGAGGAAAGTGGATGAGGGTGGAGTGAGGTCAGGTAGGAGTGAGGGCAGGGAGGAGAGGCAGGAGGAGGCTGGAGTGAGAAGAGTAAGCGTGAGTGATAGCAGTCAATGCCGCACGTCTCTATCTGTGTGTGAGAGGATGTTAGCTCACCTGGCTGTAGGGCGAGAGGGGCCTGTCAGCATAGGGCAGGTCTGAGACAGGTGCAACTGGTGCAGCTGCTGCTGGTGCAGGTTCAACTTGTGCTGCCACTGCTGGTGCTGGTGCTTCTGCTACTGCAGCGGCAGCAATTGGCTCGGCAGCTGGTTTGGCAGCAGGCTTGGCAGGAGGCTCGGCAACAGTGGCAGAATTGGAGGTGGGGGGGGAAGGGCATGGCGAGGTGGGGGGCTTGAGGTCCGGATACTGCAAAGGTGGGGAGATTCAGGGGGCGCAGGAGGGGGGGGGGGGGGGAAGACAGGTGGGGAGTGAGGGGGAAGAGGAGACAGTTTAGAGTTGGGTCGGAGTCAAGGAGAAAGGGGAAATTGAGGCTTGAGGTTGGGAGCTTGAGGTTCAGATACTGCAAGGATGGGAAAGAGGATGCTTATTGAGCCGACTAAAAAAACCTTACCAGGGCATAAGGGGAGAGAGGACGATTGGCGTATGGCAAGTCGGATACTGCTGACTCAGCCTCCGCCTTTGCTGACTCAGCTTTCGTTGCAGTAGGTGCAGCAGCAACAGAAGGAGCAGGGGCAGCAACAGGGGCAGCAGGGGGAGCGGCAGCGGGAGCAGGAGCGGCAACAGCAGCAGCAGGAGCGGCAGGGGGAGCAGCAGGAGTGGCAACAGCAGGGGCAGGAACGGCAGCAGGGGGAATGACAGTAGCAGGGGCGGAAGGTGCAGCAGCAGTAGCAGCAGCAGGAGCAGCAGCAGCGGCAGCAGCGGCAGCAGCAGATGAAGGAGAGGGAATGGGCGACGGGACGGATGGTGCTGGTGCCGGCTTGGCAGGGGCAGCAGGAGAAGCAGCAGGGGCAGCTGCAGCAGCAGCAGGAGCGGCAGCAGCAGGGGCAGCAGCAGCAGGGGCAGGAGCGGCAGCCGGAGCAGCAGCAGCAGCAGGGGCGGCAGTTGTGGCTGCTGCAGTGGCAGTGGTGGGCACAGGACTCGTTTCCTTAGGCGGGCTCAGCACAGCAGTGCTACTCGTTGGTGCAGTGGCTTCGTCGGGAGGGGCAAGGGCAGGCAGGTCCGCACCAGTTGGCAGGTACTTGCGCAGCTGTGCCAGTGTCTGCTCCCTGTCCTGCGGTGGGGAAGAGAGGTGGGGAAGGGTGGGGAGAAGTGGATGGATAGAGGTTTGGAGAGCAGAGTAGGCAAAAGAAGGTCCGCACCAGTTGGCAGGTACTTGCGCAGCTGTGCCAGTGTCTGCTCCCTGTCCTGTGGGTTGCAGAGAGGTTGGGAGGGATGGGGGAGAGGTGGGAAGAGCAGAGTCAGTAAAAGTGGAGCCTGCTGACAAGTACTAGCACGAGGAGGGGGGTTGAGAGAGTTAGTGGGAGTGTGGCCATGTGAGTGGCCATGGGAGTGGGTGGGAGTGGGTGGGAGTGGGTGGGAGTGGGTGGGAGTGGGTGGGAGTGGGTGGGAGTGGGTGGGAGTGGGTGGGAGTGGCCATGGGAGTGGGCTTGGCGCATCACCACCCGCCCTTGGCAATGAACTGCACGAGCGCCACTGACGCTGCCAGCTGAATGCTCCCCTTACGAGGACCCATTCACTTTCAGTGAATGCACGCATCACCCCAGCTACCTTAGCAAAGAGCAGCTTGGTGGCTATGAACTGCACGTGTGATGAATTCTGTTTTTGAGTCTACTCAGAAACAGACTCCCTAGCGCACCTTGCACCTTGACAAGTCTCATACCTTAGCGAAGAGCAGCTTGGTGGCATGCACCATGGCACATGCACGCATCACCCCACCTACCTTAGCGAAGAGCAGCTTGGTAGCTATGAACTGCACGAGAGCGCCATGGAGGCGAGCAGGCCGGCCCTACAAGTGAGTCTTCCCTTGTGTGGAGCTTGCACCCTCACTCCACCCCACCCTACCCACCTTGGCGAAAAGCAGCTTGGTGGCAATGAACTGCACGAGCGCCACTGACGCCACCAGAGTGAGTAGTGCCTCGGCCTGAAGGGGTGAGGGGTTGAGCGGTTGACAGGTGAGAGGGTAACCGGGTGAAGGGGCCAGGGAACAGGGAACAGGGAACAGGGGGGGAATGGGGGCAAAGGGGATTCTGGTCTGCTCTGCATTAGCGCACTGCAACGAAACATGGCCTGCAATGGAACATTGCTATCACTGCACAACACTGAAACAGACAACATTGTTGTGGTGGTGCCGAGTTGACAATGCGGCGAATACGCACTCTGCCAGCACTGCCATGGATAGCCCAGCAGCAAAGATGGCCATGCCACACTGCCATCTCCTCTCCCCACTTTCCCCCTTCCC